CAGTTATCCCCTCTGCTTCTATTGTTCCCAGTGTTCTATTTTCCTATGTGTACAGGAATACTCTCTGTTAACTCTGTTTTGCCAGTAGAGTTACAAAATCTTCTAAATACTTAGGAGATCTGGCTCTCTGTGACCTCCTGACTTCTGGGTACCTGCCACGTACCCCTTGACTGAGGGGTGATGTATGCTTGTCCCCCTTGCTACACCCTGGTGATTCCCAAGGACTGTGCTCCAATGCCTGGCCTGCTTGCTTGCCCACCGGGCTCGTCAGGCCAGGGCTTCTTTCTCTGTTTGACCTGGTTGTCCTGCCTGGCTGCAGGCTCTCTGGCCCTCTTAAGTGACTGTCACTGTTGGACAATTCTGTAGAACCTCCCAGGTCTGTCCTAGACCTGTCAAGAGGTTGTCTTTCCCCTTGTTCCCGTTCTGTACCCAGGCTTATTGGGGTACAGCTTTCAGTGCTGTCCCAAAACTCAGTTGTCCCCTGAGTGATGTCAGAGGTGTTGTAGTCGGGATTTGGTTCCTCGACCACCTCCCTGTGTGCTTGCCCCCTTCTAAGGACAGGGGTATTGTCAGGCCAACTAGACGGAATGTGTGCCAGCTCTCTTGCAGGGTGTGGGTTGTTTGGACGCTCCCGGATATCTTCCCTGACTGGAGTACTGAGTGATGTGGGTGAGTAGTGATTATGCCCCCAGGATGACTCCCTGGCTGGAGTGGGCACTGGTGCCTGAGTTCTAGTTGGGCTCCATGGATTCCTGTTTGGAGCACTCGCGGAATCTCGGAATGAGCTATCTGTAGCTCCCTCATTACTGATAGGCAGCAGCCTGCACTCTTCCCTTTGCCCAAAGGGGTCCCCCTCCCCCCTGGAAAAGACTCAGGAGTCTCAGTGGGAAGGTTCCATCTAGTGCGGAGCTGGTCGATGTGTCGTCACAGGACATGACCGTTGTCCAGGGACACCTCGTAGGACAAAGGACCTGTGACCCTGGATACAGTGGCAGGGACCCATGAATGACCAGGCCCGTAGTTACGAGTCCAAACCGGGGCATCCACAAGCAGTTGTCTAGGTGCCCTGGGGTGTGTGATTGTGGAAGGTAGTCTGTCCGGGTGCAACCGGTCAAGCTTGGTAGTCAGTTTGCGCCCCCAACGAAGTTCAGCTGGGCTCCTCCCGGTAGAAGTGGAAGGTGTAGTGCGATAAGAAAGGAGGAAGTCAGCCAACCTGTGATGCCAGTCTCCATAGGTAATTTTCTTCAAGGTGTCCTTGGTGATGTGAACCATGCATTCAGCCATACCGTTGGTGGACGGGTGGAAATGTGCAGAGGTGGCATGACGAATCATGTTGGCCTGTAAGAAAGCTTGGAATTTGGAAGAAGTGAATTGAGGGCCATTGTCAGAAACGAGGACATCTAGAAGCCCGTGTGCAGCAAAAATCCCCCTCAGTATTTGAATAGTCTTTGCAGTGGTGGTGGAAGAGACAGGTACAACCTCAAGCCATTTTGAATGGCTATCAACTAGGACCAAGAAGAATTGACCCTGAAAGGGTCCAGCGTAGTCAATGTGCACCCTAGACCATGGAGACTGTGTTTCCTCCCATCTATGTACAGGAGCTTGGGGCATTTCAGGGCGCGAGCGTTGACAAAGGTGGCATGCATGCACCTTAGCTTCTATGTCTCTGTCTAACCCAGGCCATCACAAATGGCTGCGCGCAAGCACCTTCATACGTACAATGCCAGGATGACCCTCGTGGAGGGAACCTAAGACCCTAGTCCTCATTGAGGCAGGAATGACAACTCTGCTCTCCCAAAGCAGACATCCCTGGAAGGTGGATAACTCGTTCCTTTTGGAACAGAAACTCTGAAACTCAGTGCCTGGACAGCTCTCTGGCCATCCAGATAAAACCCAAGAAAGGACACGTGAAAGTGTGAGATCTGTGGCTGATTCAGCAGCCACATCCCTGGCATCTAAAGGGGACTCAGACAAGGCCTGAATGGAGAGGATATTGATTGTTGGTGCAGGGTCAGCTTCTATTACCGGCAGGGGTAATCTACTGAGGCCGTCAGCATGGCCCATTTCTTTCCCAGGTTTGTGAAGTAAGGAAAAATCATAGGCAGACAGAAAGATAGACCATCTCAGCATTCTGGGGGAGATGATTTGGGGAGTTTGTTTATGTGTGGTAAACAGCCCCAACAAAGGCTTATGGTCAGTGAAGATCGTGAAATGCCTGCCATATAGGAAATCATGGAATTTTTTGATTCCAGCAACAACAGCTAAAGCCTCCCTGTCAATTTGAGCATAATTTCGCTCTGCAGAAGACAAGGTTCTGGAGTAATATGCAACAGGAACCTGAGTTCCATCTGATCTGAGGTGGCTTCGTACGGCTCCCACCCCATAAGGAGAAGCATCACAAGCGATGCACACAGGAAGGGATTCATTGAAATGTGCAAGCACACTATTAGAAATGAGTAAGGCCTTAACCTCATTGAAACTTGCTTCGTGTTTTTGTGACCATTGCCACACTGCCTGTTTGTCCAAGAGCCTATGAAGAGGCTCGGTTACACTAGCCTTGTTTGGAAGGAAGGAGTTGTAGAAGTTTAGAAGGCCCAGAAAGGCCTGTAGTTCGGCCTTGGACTTTGGCCTAGGAGCATGCATAATAGCTTTCAATTTGGATTCAGCAGGGTGAATCCCGGTAGCATCAATTTTGAATCCCAGAAAATCTGTAGAAGGCACCCCAATTTTACATTTGTCCTTCTTAAGTTTGAGGCCCGTTTTCCTGAACCTCAGCAGGACAGCCCTTAATCTCTCAGCTAAGTTGTGTGTAGAGTCTCCTGCAATTAAGACATCATCAAAATAGGGGAAAACCCCTGGTATACCCCGTAGTGTGTTTTCCATTACGCTTTGGAAAATTCCAAGAGCGACATTTACTCCAAATTGTAACCTCTTTACCTTGAATGCCCCCCTGTGGTTTGAGCTACAGCAGCAGCATCATCAACAGGCAGCTGTTGATACGCTTGAGCTAGGTCAAGCTTTGCAAAAACGCACCCCCCCTTGAGGGAGGTCAGGATATGACTGACCACAGGAACAGGATAGGCATGTTGCTGCAATGCCTTATTCAGACTGCATTTGTAATCTGCACAGATGCGAATGTCCCCATTTGCCTTAAGAGGCGTGACAATGGGGGTCTCCCAAGGACTGGAGTCGACAGGTTCTAAAACTCCTTGCTGAATCAATTTGTCCAACTCGGTGTCAATTTTACCCTTCAAAGCAAAAGGGACCCTTCTTGCTTTAATTCTAATAGGGGTGACGGTGGGGTCTAACTTCAGTGACACAGGGGGTCCTTTGTACGTGCCCAGCTGGGGGCTGAAAACATCTGCAAATTCTTTGCAGACTTCTTGTAGGTCAATTGTTTGCAAGCTATTGAGCCCTGTGATGTGTATTCCCAAGGCCTCAAACCAATCGAGTCCTATGAGACTCATTTGTTTACCCCCTACTACTATTACATCTAGTGGACCTTCAAAATCCTTATACTGTACGTAAGGGTGGCCTCCCCCTTAACACACACTCTGGAGTTTTGAAAGTCTGTTAACACAATGTCGGAAGGCCTCAGCTTGGCCTGAAATCCGCTGCCAGAACAAATCTTCCTAAACGTGTGCATGGAAATGATTGAAAGTGCAGACCCCGTATCCAGTTCCATAGCCAATGGAACCCCTTGTAGCTTCACTTTAAGTGACAGCTTTTTCTTGATGGGCTTGTGTGTGCCTGTCCTATAAATGCTTCTTCGCGAAGCGCAGAAAGCCACCCTGTTTTGGCTGGGGACCCTGGTACCTTTCAGGCGCAATTCTTCCCGAGGTTGTACCTTCTGATGGCCCAGACACACAGCTGCAATGTGTCCCTGTTTTCTGCATGCCCTACAGATAGCAGAGCAGAATCTACAGTCGGTCTTCTTGTGGCGATCCACAACCGAGGCACTTGGGGAGAGCTGAAGAGCTTTCCTTCTGTTTCCCTTCTTTCGTGGGGTAGAGACGGTCTACTTCATCGTCAGGATCCTCCTCTGGGTTCCTTTGGACTCCTTCCTGGTGCACAGACACAGCTTCTGGAGTGCTTCTGATCGGCCTCATGTTCTTGATGGCGCCGCCCGCTGCCTCTTCTGCAGTAACCTCTCTCAAGGCATCTTGGAATGATAAGTCTTCTTTAGCAAAAAGTCTCTGCTGTAATTCTCTATGCCTCAGTCCGCATACAAATCTGTCTCTCAGCCGTTCTTCTAGATCCTTGAACTCGCAGTGTTTAGCGGCTTTTCTCAGCGCAGCAATGTATTCTTTGACTGATTCTCCAGGTCGCTGATCCCTCTGTTCGAATGTGTGGCGCCAAGCAATGATGGACAACTTGGGCTGGAAGTGTTCCTTTAGTAGTTTTTTGAGATCTGTGTAGTTAACAGATTCTAGAGGTACAGGTGCTGCTATGTTTTCAGTGATTTTGAATGCATCTTGACCGCAAACGCACAGCAGGGTGGCGGCTTTTAAACTATCTTCTCTTACTTGATTGACTTTAAGATAGTTTTCCACCCTGGCTACGTAGGACTCCCATCTTTCCGGATGCGAGACATCGAATTCTGAAAGTCTCCAACTTTTGCCATTTTTGTAGAAAAAGGAAGGGTCTATCAGCCAGCCTACCCCCGATGCTCGCTGGATTGGCGGGCAGCTGCTGAGTTGATGCCGTTCCTACTGCTCAGGACTCTCGGGTAAGCTTACACCTGTCTTCAGTCGATGTAAGGCAATCCCACCTTCGTCGCCAGTGTTAAGTCCTTCGCGAAATGGCAATGACACGAGAAGCAGTTGTAGTTCTCAGGAACTCTTTATTTCTGTTCAGCATACTGGTTACAAGACGCCGACAACGCCCAAATCTCCCTGCCTCTTTTATAGGCGATTCCCGGGCCAAACTGCAACATTTGGCGCGCTAGCACCCGCGCATGCGCGCGAGTGCTGGTGACAGCCAGTCTGGTCCCGGGCAGCTTGCACCTGCCCGGGACCATTGCAATGCCCCGAGCCTGCTTCCACAGGCTCAGGACATAACAGTAACACAGCAATATATAAATAAGTTTTTTTCTTCTTCTTCACATAAGTAGCCCAACTATCTGAACTTTGCATTTGCAGGCACCTGAGAATTCATTGATAATGGGACATTCAACAGTCATTGTTCATGTTGACTGCAATTCTATGAATAATTTTTGGTGCACTAAAGGGGTTGTGCAAAAAAAGAAATAAGAAATAAGAATGAAAAGTGTAAGTTTTGAACAAGAGATCCACTTCCACCATATAATTAGTACTTATGTTTCAATATAGTAAAATAGATTGCTGTTTGAAAACCCAAATCTGCTTTGGGTTTGGTGATTTTTCATGTTGCATCTTGGTCTAACTTCTCCAAACTTCTGTTTCTGGTTTTATAAATACAACTAATGGGATACTTGGGCATTGACAAGTGCATAATAAAATCCCTCCAGTGCTAGCAGCTGGCTGTGAGTTCCTTGTTCTACTACTCTGCCATTTTCGATTACTGCTATTATATCAGAATTCTGGATTGTTGACAATCGATGAGCAATAACAATGCAGGTTCGGCCTTTCCGAGCTTCATCTAATGCTTTCTGGACAATCTGTACTCAAAGACAAAAGAGAAATATCCTTATAAAAGTACTAGATCAGTGATAGCAAACCTTTTAGAGACCGAGTGCCCAAAAACTACCCCCACCCCTGCTCCGTCTCCCGCCCTGTCTGCTCTGCCCCTTCCCACCCCCTGTCCCCCCCCAGCCGCAGGGCCACATACCACCTCCATGGCCCACCGCAGCAGATTGCCCAGGTAGCCCTGCAGCACCATGGCAGCTATGCCTTCTGTCCACATCCTGCAGCATCATCTGCATGCCATGGGTCACAAGGGTAGAGTCATGTCCCTGCTGCCCAGCTATGTGCTTGGCTGCGCTGCTCTGTACGGGCCGCACCTGGGGGTGACTCTCCTCCAGGGGAGCTGCTGGTGAGGAGGCCGCGGGGAAGGCAGGGCTGGGGTGACAACGTGTGTGCCCACAGAGAAGGCTCCGAGTGCTGCCTCTGGCACGCATGCCATAGGTTCGCCACCACTGCATTAGATAGAGGTGCACTTCCCCCCCCAGTTTAGATCATTTCTCAAACAATGGCAAATTGTGTACCCATGAAGTAGGAAGTCAACTATGGGTTCACTCACTTTTTCGCTCTCTGTATCCAAAGCTGATGTGGCCTCATCTAGAAGTAGAACTGCAGGTTTTCGTACAAGAGCACGAGCAATAGCTATTCTTTGCTTCTGCCCTCCTGAAAGCTGTGCTCCTTTATCACCCACTCGAGTATTGTATTTCTGATTTTTAAAAATAGAACAATGTTGGTATTGTAAGAGAGTCAACTCAGAGTGCCAAGATAGTTTGCATAACTCTAACTTCAAGTAAGTTTGTGAATTAGGAAGAAAGAAAAATGAATGTAAATAGCATTAACATGATGATTACAATAAATCAGTTTCCTAATCTTTAAAATACAATTTTGCAATTTTTCACAGGAATAGAAACTTCTTCAGTTTGGTGCCACTCTAATTGTGTTGCAATTTCCTGATTGGCATTTAAAAAATTCTTGCTTGTATATAAAATGACTTTTTATAGCATCAGAAAGATTGTTTTTTTAGTCACAACAATTTTCAACAAATCTTTATATGTGCTAATGATAATATAGAATCATTTTCAAATTTCAGCCTAGAAACTCATGATGAATCATATGATCCTCAGACTACAATGATAATAGATTTGAAGATGGCTGGGTTAAAGTTGATTGCTGGCATCATGAAATAAATAATGAAAATATAGACTCTTTAAATCACTCAACAAACTAGGGAGCAAATGAAATAGATAATTTACATCATTATGATACAAAAAAGTATCAATGACTATTGTGAACACAGCCAAAAAAATTAGACACTCAAAAAGCCTCGTTATGCCTGCCAGACAAAGAACAAAGGACACAAAGGAGGATATGTCCTTCTCTTGAAGATTGTTTAGTAACCCTACTTTTGGGATAAGTTCCCTCAACTTTTCTAAGCTCCAAGTTATAAATTTCAAATGAGATTATAGTACCTGAATTACCTGAAAAATTGTCAGTTGAATTTCACAAAGCCACTCTTGCTTTTATTTATTCACTTGTTTGTTTGTTTTGCTGGTCATTAGTTTTACTCCACCACAGATATCTGTACCGATTGGAATAATTAATCTCATGCAGAAAAAAGATGCTAGATACCTCTGGAAGATTTTCTATAAAATTGTGAATATTGGCTGCTTTGGCTGCTTCTTCAATTTCTTCCTGGCTAACAACTCTGCTGTTATCTCCATATTGGATATTCTCTGCAATACTGCAGTTAAACAGAATAGGTTCTTGTTGCACAAGGCCCAGTCTGGACCTCAGCCACTGTATATGTAGAGATTTGGTATCTACACCATCTGCAATCTGGAAACAGAAAGGAAAACATGGCACTCTTTATTACAAAATTAAAAATATATTCCTTACATGTAGGCATACTTGTGCACTGTTCCCTTCTGGACAGCAAATGAAAGAAGGTAATAGTAAGCAAAATAAAATGTAGTAAGAAAAAAATATATAACTAAATTTAGTTTTCACCAATATAATTTATGGTATCTTTTTATACTTCATACTTTTCTATCTTTGGAAATTATCCTTGTTTCCACTATATGCTACTTTTTCTTTTCTTTTCTTTTTTTTGAGAGGAGGGATTTCCAGTCAGTGTTGAATCGTTGCAACTGCCTGGATTACACCCTGTGGTCTTTTTGTTTTAGAATTTGATTGCCATTGCCTTCTTCCAAGGACTGATAATGACTTGCCCAAGGTCACTTAGCTGACTTTGTATCTAAAGCAAGACTAAAACTCTTGATTTTCCTGTTTCTAGCCAGGGTCATTAACTACTGTATCAAATTGACTGCTTATATGCCGTATTTAACATATTCTTTTTGTTCTGTACATTACACTTCCTTTTTAAGCATCCCATCAAGTCTCTCCACTATAACTTTCTTATTTTCTCTTTCTGCCCTCCCATTCATGCTTTCTTTCATATAGTTTTTGGGGATTCTATTCTATTTCATTCTCTCTATATGACCAAATAACCGCAGTATACTTCTTTTGTGATGCTTTTGTATTTTATTCACATTAATTCAGAACTCAAGCCACCTGTTCTTATTTAACTGGTCAATTTCTTAAATATCATAGTGCCAGTGCATTCAAATCTTTTATTTCTCCTCAATTACTCAACTTTCATTTTCATGATAATCAAATTGGCAAAAGCATGCTCTTTTCCACAGTCATTTCACTTATTTCAATGAACATTTATTCTTCACAACATCCATTTCTACCAGTATTCGTGGTCACAGCCAGAGAAAAGCAGCGAGCGGGGAAGTGGTTCATTCATTGCTGCAGCCACAGCCCAGAGCCATGTGCAGCCCTGGGCATTTCTTTTACGAGCACAGTGGAGCCTCAGCACCAGGCTGAACCCTGGGAGGCTCCTCAGCACCGAGCTGAAATACAGCTGCAGCTGCAACAGCTCCAACCCCTCCCCGGGTGCAACAGGGCACCTTTTGGGCTCCAGCCCCATTGCTGCACTGACCTGCAGGCAAAAACAGGCCTTGTGCTCCAGATGAGAGCCGAGCCCAGTGACTGGAGGGCAACCATGAGAGCGGCAGGAAGAGTGAGTGGGGCCTTGCCAGAGAGGGCCGCCCCATGCCCTCTAACAGTGGTTGGAGCAACAACGCGCAGCTGCCAATCCCACCCTGCTCAGATTGCCCATTCTTATTCCCCCCTCCCAAAAGGCGGTGCTGTAAACTTTACAGCTTTCTGCAAGCAAATGAGATGAGCAAGAGCATGAGATCAGCATTTCTGAGCACACACCAATTCGCGCCTCTGTCCATTTTGCTCACTGCCGGCACCCACAATCTGCCCAGCCTCCCCTCTGCCTGCTTTATGCAGCTCCTTCTGGGTCCCCCACGTCCCCATTAACCCTCCCATCGCCATGCAGGTAAGGTTGGTGCCCCCATCCCCATCCAGATGACTTCACCTCCCCCAAGCATTTTTTTACTCATCTGCTTTCAGCTGCACTCTCTTTCCCGTTTTGCTTTTCTACCTTCATTTGCTTCTCTGCCTTCGCCATGTGTTGTGAGTAAAAAAGAAAAAAAAAGTTCCATGAGACTTTCTAACTTCTTGAGAGAAGTTAGAAAGTCTCATGGAACTTTTTTTTTTTGTCTCACAAAAACATGAAGGCTGAGAAGGACAGGAGAAAGGGAATGCTGCAGAAAGCAGGTCAGTAAAAAAATGCTTAGGGGAGGTGAGGGCATCTGGGTGGGGGCAGGGAGGGGAACCAAGGCAGTGTGTCGCACAGCTCCAGCGGAATCTCCACTGAAGACTGCTTGAGTCTGCCTGCTACCCCCAAGGCTGCCGTCAATCAACTGGAGCTGTGCACTTTGATCCTGGGCTCTCAGTAGGACCCAGGCAACGTGCAGTTCCAGCTGACTTTGCCACAAGCTTGTGTGGCGCTGCTGCCATTTTGCCTCATCCACTTTTACACTTTTTTTTTTTTACATTTTTAAAAAATTAAAAAAATTTTTTTTTACATTTTTTTCAACCCATCCTACGCGTACCACCAGCCAGGTGCTCGTGTACCACTGGTGGTACACATACCACTAGTTGAAAAGCCCTGATTTAGATCACAGGTGTCAAACTCGCCGTGTCACATGATGTGTCATGACTTTTTTTGCATTGCTGGAGCTGGGGTGGGCGTGGCCTGCATATGATGCAACCAGCCCACAGACCAGTTTGACACCCCTGATTTAGATTCTCAGGTAAATGCCTACAAATGACTAGCTGAATAGTGAAATCCCATCATCTGCTTGCAGTAAAACCAATCTGTACTCCCCAAATTTTGCTCATCATTATCTCTTGCACTTGTCAAATATCTTCCCAAGCACATTTAACAAACTAATCCTCCTGTAGTTTTTAAATCCATCATTGTTTTATTTGGCCACTTTATAAAGACACAATAACCATATCCTTCAGTTGCTGGGCATAGAAAGAGCTAAGAAAGCCATAGATCCACTCTGTAGGCAAACATTTTATAATTACACTGTCTACATTTGCATCTGATCTGCTCTTTTATATTCTTACAGGATTTGAGTTCCCGCTCTTCATTTTCTCTGCAATACTAACATTTGTAGTACTTTTTCCAATTCCATTATTTCAGATATCATTGTTACTCCTACACAGATCTCTGACACACTTTGCTCCACGCTTCAGCTTCATCACAAATCACATTAAAATGCTTCAGGATTCAAAATAACAAGGTAGTCAAGATGTCCCAAATTTTCACATTCTTTTATCAAGCTATCTGTCTGACCTGGGTTATTATAAAGGTTCATAACCAATGATCCTGACAAAGAAGTAACCTAGATGTTACAACTAGTATATATCTTCATGTGCAGCAGAGATGTTTTCAATAGAACCAAGGTCCACTTACCACTTGTCCTGAAATTGGGTCATAGAATCGCTCTAGAAGCTGAATAGAAGTGCTCTTGCCACAGCCACTGCTACCCACAAGACCCAGTGTCTGGCCCTTGTTAATCTTTATATTGAGCCCTTGCAAAACCTGCACTTCTGTTCTGGTTGGATATGCAAAGTGGATATCTTTAAATTCAATGTTGCCTTCAAATTTGTCCTATAGCAGGGAAAGGTAAGGACATGATGAGAACAAATCCAACAAGGCTATGATTTTGCACAGTGATCTGTCTCCTCCCCTCCCCCCCTCCAGTATTTCTCCTGTGGTACTAATAGTAGTAATAGAATTAGTAGTGAAATGGCTTTAGCAACAACAATAACTTACTTCCCTCCTGTAGACATATAGATAGAAATAAAATTTTGATTTGGTCTGGGATAGTTTTTCAAACCTTTTCTCTCCAGATCTTATGAATTAAAATAGCATATTAAAACAATTTCTGCTATTTGACTTTTTCCATAAGCAGTCTGATATTATTTTAAATTAGCTGAAATAAAGAAAAAGCTATTTAAATGGCTATTCTTTTTAGGCAATATATATTTTCTTGATCATTTAGATACACAGTGAATGGCTAGCTCTCCTGTTACTCCTTTTATTGTTTACAATATACAATGCAGCAAATATTTAAAATGCATTAAAAAATAAGGGAACAATCCAATGAAAGTTAAGTTTAATTTAAGAATGACTTTAAATTTATCATTAAAACAAAGACACTGGAGGAAAACTTTTATAGAAGTAGCTTTTCTCAAAAACAAGTTCCAGGATTTTAAAATGATATTGAATGAAATATTGGTTTATTCATTTACCAAATAATTATACATATGCCTAATAAATTTTTAGGTTTATTTGCAGAAACCAAAGTTTCTAAATTACTATTGCTGATTTTCATGAAAATATGTCAACTCAATATATTAAAGGTAGCATAAGCTGTTAGATCTTACTAATTTTTCTCCTTCTTCACTATAGCTGTCAATTACAGGCTTTCGATCCAAAAGGTGAAATATTCTTTGGGCAGAAACCTTTGATTTGCTAAAATCAGGTGCAAGAGAATTAGCTTGGCCAGCATTCATTGCAGCAAAAATCACTGATGAGAAGACTCTGAAAATGCAAAACAAAAATACTAAAGAGTATTTGCAACTTTGTTGAAGCCAGTTGCAAATGGCACTGATTTTACAACTTGAGTTTTATAATGTAAGCCTCTTTAAACATAATAATTTTATAGAATAGTTTTATATCTTGGAAATAGAGCATACTATATATTAAATAAGATCAAGTACCATATTTTCCGGCATATAAGATGACTTTCTAAACCATGCAAATCTTCTCCAAAGTCGGAGGTCGTCTTATATGCCGGAAAATATGGTAAAACATTTTGCCAAATGACTAGTGCCTGCAGTGCAATCTAATTTGAAAAAATTGAAGAAAAAGAATTTCATACTATTCAAGAAGATTATTTAAGTCAAGAGCTGGTATTTGTAGCAGTAAATCTATATATATGATGTTGGAAAAATCCCAGTGAATTCAGTATGTCTTAAACCTTAGAAAGATATGTATAGATGTGCCTTATGAAAGCGAACTTCAGTAACTCAAAGATTATCACATCAGTTAAACTATCGATCGATCAAAACAGGAACATACAGAAACTAAGATTTTATGTTGCAAAGTTGAGAGTTTGGAATTCAAAATTATCTGTTGTCAAGATCAAAGTTTATAATGGATAATTTAAAAAAAAGTGTTTATCTTTCCCTTCTCAGTGATACTTGACCTGACACTTAAATAGCTCCAAAGTTCAGCTTTTCACAAGTCTTTATAGATATCAATAAAAGCTGTTGAGTTAATGGCAGATACTGAAATTATGCCCCAATTCTTATTATAACTTCAACAGAAAATGAAAAGAGCAAACCTTTGCCATTGTTGCTCTTCAGCAAAAGGTTTCTAGAGGCATGTTACTTTCGAATCTGGAGAGTCCCACTAACTATCAGGAGCCATCATTTTTATGTTATATGTGGCTGGGCAAGGCTATTGAGGGACTGATTCTCCTAAGTCAGTGGTTCTCAACCTTTTTAATGCCGCGACCCGCAACCGGTCGTAAGTCGAAGACTACTCAACCGGTCGTAAGTCCCGTTTGCAGAATGGGACTTTTGGCGGGCTCAGCAGGGCAGAGATAGCCTGGACAATTCCTATTGGCTTTTGAAAGCCAATAGAATTAGACTCTATTCAAGAGAGTCTATTCTATTGGCTTTCAAAAGCCAATAGAATAAAAGGGAGTAGCACAAATAAGGAAAAGGGGGGAAAAATGGCAGACTGCGTTGTTTGGCGACCCCCGTGAAATGGTCGTTCGACCCCAAATGGGGTCCCGACCCACAGGTTGAGAACCACTGTCCTAAGTGACATCCACCCATTCCATCAGATCTGTCAGAAGTAGTCTGTTATGGGTTCTGTCCACTAGATAGTATTTGACAGGACCCGGGAGAAGGACTTTTTCTGCTTCTCCCTGTGCCATATAAAACATCACTCCCCAAAAGCTCAAGCTCATTAAACGTGATTGCCTTCTAGAAGGGCATGAAGACTGGCATTGCTATCTGGCCTGGGAACTGGAGAGTGGTATGGAGCTCATGTGACTGTACTATTCATGTGCTTTCCCAGTGACTGCATTGTATGGTTTTAATCGTTTTTAATTGTTTTGACATTTTTTATTGCTTGAATGGCTATTTTATTCTGGTTTTGTTTGTTTGTTTATGTTTTAATTGTAAAGTGCCCAGAGTCTTGTGAGAGTTTTCTATAGTCATGTGAGATTTATATAGAGGTATATATATATTCCTAATTCTTTGTATATGACACCAACAGAACTTTTCAGCTGTGCCATTATTCTATGATCTCACATAATTACACAAATGTCAATAAACTAATATGCACAAATAAACTAATAAACACAATGCAACCACAGAAATGGAAATACTCCAACTTTGGGGTAGGGGGACTCTCATGAAATTTAGCAATCTCAACTCGAAGATCTTAATGTTCCTGTTCTAATATGAAGAATTTCCAAGTTTTTTGCACAGAATCTTGAAAATTTTTATGAAAGAATACCAAAAACTATTGATATTTCAAATTCTTGTTTTGCATTTTAAAATTATTTGTATTAATTTTTTTAGGTTGTGAGGAAAACATCCAAAAGCAGTCTAGATAATGACATATTTATGTGCTAACTGTGTAAGCCTTCCTTAAACAATTTATAGATGTGACTAAGATGTCAATACTATAAACTTTTCCTTCACTTCAACATGATTGTTTTTGTTTTAAAACATATCCATATATGAAAATTGGTAACTTCAGTTCGTATTTTCATTACCCTCCATAAAAGCAAATATACTCACATAAACAGTTGTTCAAAGTTCATAAAACAATGGGCAATAAGCCATGCTCCAAATCTGAAGATAGCAGCATTTATAAAAAAGTTGAAACTCTGCCCTATTGCATAGGAAAATCCATTAATAGGAGCTTTCTTTAGTGTGTCCCTAATAAAAGTAAATAATTATAATTAATTCACAACCAATCATAAAATAAAATCAATCACAAAATTCAAAACTAACCACCATTTATTAGCTAAATCAGTATTGAATAACCTTATCAGGAGGTGTGGACTTCAAGTCTCAAATTCCGGAGGTTGAAATAGAACCTCTTAAAATTGTGTGAGAGAGATTATTCGTATGTATGCATGTATATTGTTTATATATGTGTATGTGTATGTATGTGTGTGTATTTTAGTTTCCTTCATTTTTATTGATGTGTTCTTTTTAACTTTGTTCAATAAAAAAGCAATTTAAAATAATGACTACAATGAGGAATATGCATACAAAATATGCATACACACACAAACTCACATACAAAAAGTATTAAAAAATAAAATTCTTACTTGTATGGTCCATATAAGCTTGCTTTGTAGTTCTCAAAAAATCTATCTTCTCTCGTTAATGCCACAACAGTTCTTATATTTTCTACAACTTCTGTTGAAATCTAGATTTGGGGAGAAAAGGAAAAATATAAGGCATTCACTCACCGATGCAAGGAGTTTTGTGATGTATAGCATTATCTACCTAAAGCACAAAACCCGCGAGATAGCATACTGTAAAACATGTGCATGGTTCATAATTTATCATGCAAATCCAGACAATTGTGATTTATTAAACTATTGTTAAATAATAGTTTAGACAATTATATTTATTGTTTGGCTTATCTCCAAAGGCATTGCAGTCCAAAAAGTTAAATCTCTGCCTTCCTTTTCAAGGTAATCTTTTTTAAACTAGTTAACTTTCTGACATCCCTTCACTCTTGCCCTATGTTCTTCATGGTGAAGGGAGGGGGGGGGATAAGAAATCAGGATGTTTTTTCTTCCTCTCCAGAAAGCAAAAGAGAGATTAAATGCTTCTTTGTTTCCCCATTCTGCTGAGCAAAGAATGCTATGTGTTGATGAATTGGTGACTCATTCTGTGGGGAGGCAGTTTTTCAGTTTTGTGTATGAATTTGCAATGGAAGACAAGGAATCTGTGGCTGTCAAATTATTTTAAAGAACTCTCAGTAGCAGTAGTCAGCATACAAAAAAGGATGATAAAAGTTGCAATTCAGCAACATCCACAGGGCCAGGTTCTTACAGGCTTGTTTAATTTGAGTTTTCAAATTGTGTGTTCCCCCAGATTATTTGTTTCAGTATACAGAGATTTTTGAGTTTGTGCTAAGTGATTTCACACTGCATTGCCTGAAGTACATACTGAGGAAGGGTGGCATGTCAACAAACAGACCACATTTTCCTGGAGAAGCACTACTGAGAAAAATGAAGACTATGGGCCATACCAGAGCTGTGGTGGCACAGTGGTTAGAATGCAGTATTGCAGGCTAACTCACTACTCACTGCCAGGAGTTTGATTCTGAGCGGCTCAAGATTGACTCAGCCTTCCATCCTTCCAAGGTTGGTAAAATGAGGACCCAGATTGTTAGGGGCAATACACTGACTCTGTAAACTGCTTAGAGAGGGCTGTAAAGCATTGCGAAGTAATATATAAGTCTATGTGCTATTGCTAAAGTAGACTCAGGTCTTGCTAAAACAGTGAATCGATGTAACTCTATTGAAAGTTCAAATCATATGACATTTCCTGCCTAATCATCACGACTTAATCTTATCCATATATTTATATAGGTAGAAGATACCCTTCCAGCTTCTTCAAGGGATTTTTGATCCTCAGCTGCATGACCTTTCATCGATTTCGCTTGAATAGCCTTTGCAGCAATGATGAAGGGAATACAAGCTAGGATGAGCAGCGTTAAATGCCAACCATGTGCAAAAGCAATGATAAGAGCTGTCACAAGTGTGAAGAAAGTCATGGTCATTAAGGCCAATCTATTTCCAGTAGCCTTGAAAATAAATAAGAAAAATAAATTATATCTTTTGCTCAATAAAGCGTTCTTTTATAACATTCAATGCACAATAAGACTGTCTTCTACGAGGAGGCTTTGTAGTACTGGTATTTGAACCAGAACTATTAGATTCTATATAATAGCTTTGTATCATACAGTATCAATCTGATTGTGTGTATGTGTGTGTGTGTGTTTGTGTGTGTATGTGTGTGTGTATTCAGATGGTTTAGCACATCTGACCGAAAAGATAAGGTAAAATAAGATAAGGTAAGGTAAGGTAAGGTGAGGCGAGGCGAGGTGAGGTGAGAAGCTAAGCTAAACTAAGCTGAACTAAGCTAAACTAAGCTAAGCTAAGATAGGATAAGATATAAGATAAGATAACTTTTACTGTCAATTTTACTGGCACACATTAAAAATGAAATTCTGTGGCCTTCTCTCAAAAGAAAGTATATATCTACCCATATATATATGTGTGTGTGTGTGTGTGTGTGTGTGTGTGTGTGTGTATAAATCACTGTCCATTTTGAATACATAACAGAAAGAGGAAGCTTCAGAGTTCACAAGGTTGATGCTATATGAAACAAAACTGTGACTGAATCTGGATGTTCTTTGGATACCACGGAACCTCCTCCCAGAAGGTAACAAGGAAAACAGGTCATGAAGACAATGTGTAGTGTTCCAGACCCTGCTCAAACAATGGACCCTGCTCAAACAATGCTTATATGCTATGTCCTACCTAGATAGAAGGAAGTGAACTATCAATAGCCTTTTCTGCCATCCTCACTACTCTCTGGACCTCCTTCCTGTCTGAAGCAGTGATGCTTCCAAACTAGACAGTAATGCAATATGACAGGATGCTCTCAATCATCCCTCTCTAGAAAGTGGTGAGGACAGGGGAAGGAAGATGTACTTTTCTCATGTGATGCAGAAAATGCAGGCGCTGCTGTGCCCGCTTCATCAGTGTCATGCTGTTGAGCAACCAAGCCAGTCTACTTGTTAACTGCACACCCAAGAATTTGGCTTGTAACCATCTCCACAGGTAAATCATTAAGTGTGTGGCTGTGCCTGCCTTTTCTGAAATCGACAATTATCTCTTTTGATTTTCCAAGATTTAAAACAAGGCTGTTTTATTACACCAACTCACCAAAGGCTCTCTTCCTCTATGGAAACACAATGTATCTATGTCTTGCTAAGGTATACAGGAATATGTATGAAAAGTTCATGGCAGGTAGTATGATTAACATTTATTCCCTGTTTTTGCAAGTCACATTGCTAACTTTCTTGAAAACACTTTTTACACAGTTTCTCTTTATTAGTTGAAATTGCCCATTGGGATTTTTATAAATGGAATTAACATAGAGTCATCTCTTTATGCATATATGATATCATCTGGCAATACTGAAAAGCCAATACATTAGTTGCAAAAGTTATGGCTTCAATGCCAAAGTGATTCATGGGATCTTGGAGTCTCGTGGAATATATCCCTATTCCCAATCAGACTCTTTTAGAAAGTGCAAGTAGAAAAATTGTCTGAAGACACAAGCACAAGCCATGATATATTTAGAATGTGAAAATGATTCAAATAATGGATTTATTTTGTTGTTTCCTGCAGCAGTCTCTTACTGATACCAAGATAATTATAATTCCAATAAAATATATAAAAACAATAAGCAAAAAACATACTCCTTTAACTTGAGAAGCATCTGTTGAAAGTCTGGTTAACAGAACTCCAATACCATTATTGTGATCATCAAACCATCCAATTTCCTAAAACCAAAACGAACAAATTGAAATAATAATTGAAATTAACAACTACTGTGAGCCTTTCCTCTTGTAGTGAACTATGGTATAAACATTTCTTGGCAACATAACTTTTTTTCTGCCAGGACTCCCTGAAATTGTCTTCATTTTTATTCCCAGTTAATGAATCAGATATAAGTCACTCTTAGTTGAATCCTTTTCTACTGTAGTCCCCAACATACAACAGTAGTCACAAAGCATGTAAAGCCTGTTACATTTTGTCAGCCACTACACTGGTGATCATTCTTGGGTGGCATAAAGGCAGCTACTCTAGAGTTTTCAGCCAGCTGTTCTCAGTGTTGATTTTAATTTATCAATTTAGTATAAGGTTGATGTAACAAAACAAGAAGTGTCCACACAGGGGGTCTAAATTGATAGCTGAAACTGCATGATTGACACCTGCCCTATTTTTACTTAAAAGGGGGCAGGGCTTCAATCATATGGTCACAATTGCCAACTTGATATTTTATCTGCTACTACCTGTTCCCATGGTGCACCCAAATAAAACAGTAGAGTGATGAAAGTTTTTAAGAAGAGACTGGACAACCATTGGTCTGAAATGTTATAGGGTTTCCTGCCTGAGCAGGAGGTTGGATTAGAACAGGGGTAGTCAACCTTGGCTCTTTTATGACTTGTGGACTTCAACTCCCAGAATTCCTGAGCCAGCTAAGCTGGCTCAGGAATTCTGGAAATTGAAGTCCACGAGTCATAAAAGAGCCAAGGTTGACTACCCCTGGATTAGAACATCTCCAAGGTCCCTCCCAACTTTGTTATTCTGTTATTCTGTAATGGGCTGAAATAGTTTAATACTGAAATGATAGGACCAATCTGTTCATTCCACATTATTTCCAAAATAAAACATAACAAACTCTGGAAGTCAGCATTTGTTGTGTCTATTTAAAAAAAATAGGGAAGGCGTACAGATAGAGACACCTGAATTAAAAATGCTGCTTTCCCCCTACTTAGCTATTCATAATGATGAAATTACCTCTTAGGCCTTCAGGTGATATTTTTCACTCTTAAAATATATGTTAAATTTAGTGCCTCTGTGGAAATGCAAATGTTCTGTGGATTAATTAATAAATCTTTTGGCAACATAACTCCATTGGAATCTACAAGGATGCAGTGATGCATTATGTTACTATATCTATATAACAGAATAACAGAGTTGGAAGGGGCAGAAATCTTCTAGTCCAACTCCCTGCTCAGGCAGGAAACCCTATACTATTTCAGACAAATGGTTGTCCAATTTCTTCTAAAAAATTCCAGTGTTGGAGCATTCACAGCTTCTGGAGGCAAGTTGTTCCACTAATTAATTGTTCTAGCAGTCAGGAAGTTTCTCCTTGTTCAAGGTTGCTTCTCTCCTTGATTAGCTTCCATCCATTGCTTCTTGTCCTGCCTTCAGGTGCTTTGGAGAACAGCTTGACTCCGTCTTCTTTGCTATTTTGTCACCCTTAGTCTTTCTTTTCATTAAACTAGACATATCCAATTCCAGCAACCATTCTTTATATATTTTAGTTTCCAGTCCCCTAATCATCTTTGTTGCTCTTCTCTACACTCTTTCTAGAGTCTGTATAGATTCTAGGCTAGACTGAGATCTGATAGCTTCTTAAACATTAGCTTTTTATTCAACGTCACTATTTTAGACTGCAGGAGGTAGTTCCTAACCAACCTTGGCTGAATTGGAAAATCGGAGTACAATTGGACTAGTTTAGTACTTAGATGAGAACGCAGCCAACCTTAGGGCTTAGGCTATCTGGGAATTCCTAAAATCTTTCCTCAAATAGGCTTCATATTCTTGGTAAGATAAGAAAGATAAGAAAGAACATTCTTATGTCCCTAAATTCAGCCACCTGACTTGAGATTCCCCTTTTATTATTATTAGAGATTTACTGTTCTCATTCATTAGAAATCTTTTGTTAATGTATGTTTCTAAATAGCTCTAGGCAAAAGTAATAGTAATAATAATAACAATAACAACAACAACAAAACAACAACAACAACAACAGCAATAATAATAGTAATAGGACCTTGGAGGTCTTCTAATAATAATAGGACCTTGGAGGTCTTCCTGCTTAGCAGGAAACCCTATACCACTTCAGACGAATGGTTGATGATGGTATCTAGTTTGGATGTGGAACGTCTGCAAGAAATCAGTCAAGCTCAGAGACATCAAGGACCCCCCATTTCTGAACTACAAATATTCTCCTTTATTAGTGATCCAAACCTGTCCCCAAAGTGCTCTTGCTTTCCCTTTCCTGCTCTGTTTTGTTACCTGTTGCAGCAAGGCTTTGAAAGAAAGAGAGCGCAACCGCATTGTGAGAGCCTCTCCAGACTTCCCAAAAGTGAATCCCTGCAAAAAGTATAAGACAAAAAATTAGCTTTTTATTTTTTAAAAAAGGACCATTATCATCTGAAGGGCATATATCCAATAAATGAGGGGGTGACAGTTTCAGGCATTTATTAATGCAGAGCTTAACTACAAATGCAAGAGATAAAGACAGAACCATATCAAAATTAAGGGGGGGGGGGAAATCACTAATTATAGTAATGATTGTGTGTGATGATGCAGTGTTAGAATGCAGTACTGCAGGTTAACTTACTGCCCACTGCCAGGAGTTCAATCCTGACTGGCTCAAGGTTGACTCAGCCTTCCCTCCTTCCGAGGTCAGTAAAATGAGGACCCAGATTGTTGGGGGCAATATGCTGACTCTGTAAACCCTTTAGAAAGGGCTGTAAAGCACTGTGAAGCAGTATATAAATCTAGGTGCTATTTCTATCCTGAGAAACTTCCCGATGAAATTTGAATAAAAAGGTAAACAAATGTTGAGAAAGTCTGGATGTATACATTAGGTAGCCAAAGCATCTAGAATGATATACATATGATTTATGGGATTCCCTCTGATAAACAAATCACAATATCAAAAGTCCATCTTTTTAAAATTGAAAGCCTTTTGTTGTGCTGGTTGAATAATTTTGTATACAATCCTCTCTGCGATTATTTCTTATTAAGTAGGTCTTATATTAGAACTTACCTGGATTGTATAAGTTATTAAGCTGATCACTCCCAACACAAGAAACATGAGAGAATACAGCACTGTATTCTGACTTTTCTTTACATCATCTTGTTCTTGGAAAGCCTGAGTGACAAAGCATAGTTTTAATTACCAGCACAAGAAACAGTTGATGATAAACTTTCTATTTAGTTCAAATTGTAACCATTTCCCGCAAGCCAATTTCCCTCATTTCCCTGTATGGGACCATTAGCTATTCTGAACAGCAGACTATGCTTTACATGAAGAATTTGAAACCAATTCTAATTCAGTGACCACAAATGTCTAGTTCAGATGATAGGAAATGACTATTAGATGGCAGCAGTGTGATTATAAAAAAAGTTGACCTCTTTACCACTGTCTAGTGACTGTATAGAGTTCTGCAGGTCACATCTGGTAACTCCCTATCAGGATAGAATTTATTAGCTGAATCTCACAGCTTTCTAAAAACAGAAGTCCAGATCATGTTCATTCCTTGAGGTTATGTTCAAAAATCATTAAATTCAAAGGTGGAATTTAATTAGGGCCAAGTAGCAGCTTGGAAAAGATTACTATAAGAATAAAAATAAAATAAAAGTAATTTTATTTATTTGCAAAATCTGGAGGTGACAGTTTTCCTGCAGTTTGTTATATTAATATAACAAACATACAAAATAACTGTAGAAGAAGAACTGTGTTAGTCTGGCAGGAGAAATTCAGGAGTGTGGTAAACACCTTTTCCGACTAATAACATTTACTTAGAAGCATAAGTTTCTATGAGCTGTAGCTCATTCATCCATTGGTGAATGAAATAGTTCAGTGAATTTTATTGTTAATATTTATATATCCCTTTCTATGAAAAATAATGTTCAGTGTGACTAATAAATAAAACACTGATATATAATTTGTTGGCTGAACCAGACTAATGTAGATATTTTTGTTTCTTATGTGGAGAAAGCACTCCATCATTGGAGAGATCCTGATGAGAAGTCAAAGGTATCCACAAGATGTGCTGAAAAATAATCAAGATGGCAGCTGAGATGTGTAATCAACACCTATTTTTATATGTGGATCTTCAATTGCACTGTCCAGGTTGTCATCTCGACTTTTTTTCACCATCTCCTGCAGATACCCCTGATCTTTTCCATAGACACCGATCAACTAAAGTTTCAAGGAAGAGGCACTTGACCAAAGGACTGTTGTAGACCTCAGGTTCTTATTGGAGAAAGAAAAAAAATAGTTTCCTGAGTATTTGGGTTTAATACTCAGTATTAATTTGGGTAAACTTTAATATCCAGACTTGGAACTGTGCTGGAATCTGAAAGCTATGGAATATTATGAAAGCTTATCAAATATCATCAAGTTGGCAAACTGTCATTCCTCTTATAGCCTCTTTTTTTCTTTTTAGAACTGCATTTTCACAGGAATAAACTACAAGTAATCCTCAAGTTACAACCAGAATTGGAGTATGGAACTTCCACCACAGTTGTTAAGTGACTTCTACTCAATTTATGATCTTTTTTGTTGTAGTTTTTAAGCAAATCATATAACTGATTTGGCTTGTTGGAACCCCGAGATGGTTTCAAATGGCGAACATGCAACCTGGGATAGTACAAGCAGTGTAAATATAGGCCAAATGCCTGTATCCAAGTGCCAGAATCACAATCACATGATCACACGGACGTTATAATAGTTGTATGTGTGGGGAATGATTGCAAGTCACTTTTTTCAGCACTGTCATAACTTTGAATGGTTGCTAAATAAATAGTTGTAAATTGAGGATTATCTGTATGGATTCCTGGGGTGGAAGTATGGTGCAGGGCCAGATTAAAAGGAAGTGAGGATTCTATTCTTTCTTTCTCTTTCTGTATATTCCCCTTTTTTCTCTCTCTGTCTTCCCACACCTTTCTTGTTAGTGGCTTTTAAAATAAGTTATGTATGGCATTTTATTATTCTATTAGCATTCAATGTATACATCTGTTCATATGATGACCATATCAGAACAAAATTCAAAATGCACACCAGAAAAACAGTACTGTAATATATATGTTCTGAGTTATTGTCTCCTATTTTATACTGCCTTGGAAGATGCTTCTTTTACAAGGATTAAGATTATTCATTTCTTTTGGGAGGAACTATTTAAAATGTATTTTTGGAAAGCTAGAGATGGAATTGAGATGGTGAAAAAATTGAAATGCCATTGGTAAAGCCATTGTAAATAACCTCGGCTTCTAATAAAATACGATCATGATAAGAAATCAGAACATCTGTTTGGTTTGATAGATTCTACAAAAAAGGAAATAGAAATATTAAATGGTCCTAAACATACCCCAATGATTTTGCCAAACAGAACTGCAAAGGCAGGAGTAATACCTCCTGCAATGGCAGCAGCAATGACCCCAATTCCTATGTAGCAGAATTCAGGCTTATTCAGAGCCAGGATCCTGGAATAAGGAACATCTGGGAGAGTCTCTTTCTGTAAGAGAGAAAATTCCCCTTGTCATCAACAAAATTACAAACAGGCAATGCAATTGATGGGTGAAATGTCACTGAGAATTACTCAACTGTATAGTAATGAAAAGAAACTGGCTTCTGTGTTCAATCCCACTCATTTCTATGATCTCAGACAATGAATACAAGTGTGAAAACAAAAGAAAAAGAACAAAAAGCCAATTTATCTGAAAATCTGTCCACAAAGGTCACTAAAAAGTGAGAGAAATCCCTCATGAATGGCAACATTTCTGCATGAATTATTCTGTTGAATTATTCTGTGTGCTTTAGGGTCTTGCCGCCTGTACATTAACTTTGGATTCTCATTATTTTAGTGTTGTGTGTTTCAGATGAAATTTTGATGTGGCATATTTGAAATACAATATATTTCAAAAGTCCAGAAGTGTAACAAATTTTCTAACTGGTGTTCTCAAGTTGTTCATATTATTTGACATATACATTATCCTAAGGAACAAATACAGGTCAGGGATGAATGAAACTGAATACCAATATTTCCTAACAATTGGGTTATTTTTACCTATGAATTTATCTGAAAATGAAATCAAATACATGGATAAATATAAGGCATTTATGGAAAGAACAAAGCTTCTCTTATAATTCTGATTTGTTACTAGAACCAAAAGATGGAGATGCCAATTTTCACATAGCACTAAACCACTTACAGAGGAGTCATATTTTTAACACAGAAGATATTTTAGAAATAATCTTAATACTAACCACATGGACCTTCTTTGCTTCCTTCTTCTTCTTCTTCTGTTTTTTTCTCCTTTTCCTTTCAGAAAATCTTTTAGTAGATGCTCTACTGAGAGAAGGTCTGTTGGATATTCTTCGTAAACTTCCATACTTAACCACTTCTGTGCCAGCATTAGAACCCCCCAAATCATTTAGATCTGCTATTTCATATAAATCTTCTTTCTCAGAAATTCCACTATTCTCATCCTCAGTCTCAAATTCTGTCTCTTCATTTGAAGTTTCACTCTCTTGTTCTTCTCCCTGGTAATTCTAAATATTTATAAAATGAAAACAAAACAAAAAAAATAAATTACCAATGGGGTTAACTTTTCTAATTACAACTTATGAGAATTAAATCTACAGGTAGTCCTCATCTTATAACCATTCCTTTAGTGATTGTTTGAAGTTCAACTGCAATGAAAAAGTGACTTAGGACCAGTCCTCTCACTCACGACTATTGCAGCATTTCCATGGTCATGAGAGTGTGATTTGGGCACTTAGCAACCGATATATACGGCTGCAGCATCCCAGGGTTTGCCAGTTGGCTTCCAACAAGCAAAGTCAATGGAGCAAGTTGGATTCACTTAACAGTTTTTTGATTTGCTTAATGACTGTAGCAAAAAAAAAAAAAATCACGGTCAGCTGGGGAATTCTGGGAGTTAAAGTCCTTCTACCTTAAAGCAGTCAAAATTGAGAAATACTAGGCTACAGTAACAGAATCTTGAAAACCTGACTGCATTTACCTATGTCTGAAGCATTACTATGATCATTTTCTCACAAATCTGGGAACTATACAGAATCCAATGGCATTCTTGGGAAAAAGAGATTACTCTGGAAATGAATGTTTTGCTTTGTAAGTACCATGTTCAAGAAACAAAAGCTGTTAAACATTCAGATTTTAAATTAAAAAAACACAAACACAAAAATTCCACAAAGTGCTCTTGTAGTTTAAGGATTATATTTCTTTGACCTGTGGAGAGAGCCAATAACCTCTCATTAACTTTGCTTGACTATTATTCAGTATTATAGAAAAGTGGGCTAATGTGCTCTTTACTCTTTTTGGAGTAGCTACAGGTTTTGCTTATGTTTAGCCAAAGTACAGCTTTCAAACATGTAAATATGGACAAATAGTAGCTTCTCTTGGCTATGATGAAAACAAGATAGTTTCAGATCATCATTTATTAAGGTGGAATATTTCCCCCCTTGTAGATAATGCTATATTGCAATTTACCCAAAATGGAAGATTCCAAACCTTTCACAGTTAAGATATGGGAAAGGGCAGAAAGTGCACACTTGGGAATTATCCCCATAAAGCATATAGTGTCACATTTGAACCAAGCCTCTGAATCTCATTACCTGCTGCATTACAAGAGCATAGTAAACTCCTTTATGTGCCATGAGTTCACTATGTGTCCCCTGTTCAACAAGAACACCTTTCTCAAAGCCAGCAATAACATCAGCTGTCCTTATTGTAGAGAGTCTGTGAGCAATTACAATGGTGGTGCGCCCAGCCCTGGCCTTCAAAGAAGGATAAAAGAAAAAGAAATAAATAAAGAGGAAAAAAACCTTATCTAAAACACAAATTTCTTCACAATTCCATCCTATATTTCTTCATGTATAATTTAAAGAGATCAGATCTCTTAAAATTTAGCTCATGTCATAAATGATGTAGATTTCTCAAATATGTTGCTGTTAACCCACTTATTTGGTTTAATAAGACATTCAAGTGCTTATTTATATCTCATATTTTCTGACAATATGTTTGCAATCCATAGTTGTTTAGATATGGTTGAATATATCACAAAGATTTAAAAGTTTACTTATAGCTAAATTTATCTGGTTAACATTATGCCACAAGTTTCATTATTGATAGAGAGCTTTAAATCATAGCTAATGCTTCACACCAATTGAAGTATAATATGGGACAACTATAAAAGATCCTTACAACTGAAAAGGGCTGCTTTGAAGACCTCTAGTTTAGAATTTCAGTTCAGAATTGAAGAAGCTTCTTGGATAAGAAGTGAAAAATCTTTAAGGAAATCTTTAAGGAAAAACCAAGCAAGTCCAGTTGCCTTTTGAAAAAAAAGCACCTTTTGGACAACCATGATTTGGATGACTGAGAATCTCCATAGACATTTAGCTATGCCCTCTAGCTTAAAGTATTTTGGAAAAAGGAAGTCTCTTGTCTCTCCAGGACCTTTGTCTAGTGCAGTGTTTCCCAAACTTGACAATTTTAAGGCATGTGAACTTCAACTCCCAGTTGCTGGCTGTGGAATTCTGGGAGTTGAAGTCCTCATGCCTTAAAATTGTCAAGTTTGGGAAACACTGGTCTAGTGTAAATCATATTGTTTCTGACCCCAGCACTGGGACAAAATATAACAGACATATACTTTCTGTTTTGTGGAAATGATTGCAACTTTCTGTTGGGGAGAGTATTGTGGTTTCGTTGTATTCTCATAATAAGCATTTATTGTATACTTATTAATATAAATTATATAAATAAAACCGCTATTTCTTTACTGAAAACCACTTAGCAACATTCGAAATGCCTAAGTAGCTATCAAGGAGCCACTTTCCAAATTTTCAGAGTATCCTTTTAAATTCCCTGAGTTTATCATCTTAGATTTTTGGTCTTATGTCTAGATTGGCTTTTGATCTGTACACATTCTAAGAATGATGAAAATATTCATTATCATTTATTTTTATATTTTATATCCTTTTATAGTTTGGCTGACTAAAATAATGAAAATATTGTCTATATCATGCAGATTTCACTTTCATTTGGCGGATTGGGAATAATGGGAGACACGATCATCTGGAACTGTTTAAACAAAGCTCTTGTTTTGGTAGATTTGGTAGATTAATTATGGGATAATTGTGGGTGGTATAGCTTCAGTCAATAATGCTAACTTTCTCTTTGCAATGAGCCCTTTTATAAAATGGAAACAATCTCCTGATTCATAAAAGAAAGCAAGAACTGGAATGCTAAAGGAAAATTTCTGACTCTTTTCTCTGGAAAGTACATTGGTATTAATAGAATAACCACAGGATAAATGGTTAATGAATCATCTTGTCAAAAATGACTAATACTGAAACTTATTCTACAGAAAAACAAGACACACACATACAAGCACTAATAAAAACACACACTCATCTGCACTGTTCTGGAACCTCCTAAAGTAGGCTTGGCTGTCGAAAGCATGAAGTGTTCTTGGCATGGTTCTAGGTGGGAAGCTCTCCCATTACTGAGAATGGAAGTCTTCAAGACGTTCACTTGGGTTGAGGTTTGCAACTTATTGATACATATCATCCCTCCTATGGCCATCCAAGTTCCATCTTAATGGCTACTGGAGTACCTGGTGGGCCTTTGATTCTTTCATCGGAACCAATGGTTCCATGGGCATCTCATCCCACCATAAGTAGAATTTCGGCTTCAGGATCTGGGGGAGGGATTAGATCGGCTATGTGAGCTATGTGAGGAAAGTTTCTTGCCTCCTCTGGTGTTGAGATTTCGCTGTGATTGTTTGGTAACTTCTCCCATTCCAACACTGGTGGCAACAGAAACTGTGAATTCCCATCTATCGATTCTATACATAGTCCGGAGATTTTCCTCCCCACTGTGCTCATTGGTACTGAAAGCGTTTGTACTGCAAACTCTGTTAGTTCAGTCGGGAGGTCAAAGAGGTCGAAAAATGCTGACTTAGCTATTGTGGCAGAGCTGTGTACATCTAGTATGACATACATCTTTACAGCCTCTTCTGGTCTCCCATCGGGATAGACTTTAGCTAGAAAGATGGGGGACCATGAATGAGGGTGCAGTGAGTATACTTGCTGTGCAGTATACTCCCATCAGTACTGGGTGCTCTTTGCAAGCAGGTTGAGGCTCGTCATCATGGGAGGAGTTGAGGTTGCTTGTTGTGGCTTCTCAGAGGGCTTCTTAGAGTCTGGATGTAAGGCTGCCGGATGCTTGTTACTGTTACTCAGGAGGCATTTCACCCTAACTGCACAATCTTTGGCCATGTGATCCATAGAGTCACAACACTTGTAGCATATCCTAAGCTCCTTGAGCAGGGCCTTTTGATCATCCAGGGACTTTCTTCCAAATTCTCTGCAACTGTTTAGAGAGTGTGAAGATTTATGAATTGGACAAGTCAGGCCTTTTTCGGACAGGTGAGGTTTGAAATGAATACTACTTGGCAGTTGCGGGTCTGAAGTCTTCTTTGGCTGGGTCGTGACCTCTGTCTTGTATACTGAAATAGGTGCTTTGTCCTCTATGTCTTGGAAAGGACCCTTGTTAATGTCTAAGTTGTGACTGGACCATTTTGGCATTGTAAAACATTTGTCATCGACATCAAGGTAATAAGGGTCATTGTACAATTCTGATTGATCAGAAACAAAATCTGTAAGAACGGCAAAAGCTGGAGGTTTGCTGGGGTCCTGCTTCCTGTAGGACAGGGATTCTTTGCACCATTGATCTTTCAACTGCCATGGTAATTTTTGGATGATAATTTTCTGCGTGTTGAACTGGTCAAGGCAGGCAAGTCCCGGCATGGTGCGACTTTGTTGTGTTGCCCAGAGTTGCTCTAGTAAGTTGGAGAATCTCCAACTAGGATCTTTGATATTGATGACAGGGAAATTGTAGAGATCCTTGAGAAATGAGGACTGTGTCAAAGTAGGCGCCCCATAGTGCTTGTCGAGTGTTTCCCAGGCTAATCGAAGGGCGATGGGTGGGTCACTCAAACATGCGACGAAGATCGCATCCACTACCTTTGAGGATTCTGGTCCCAGCCATGCCAACATAAACCTGATCTCTTCCCCTGGGTGTAGCTTCTCGTCATGGATGGCTTGCTTGAAAAATTGTTTCCACAATAAATAGTCCTTCCCTGGTTTGTCAGAGAATTTTCGCATGCCTCTGGAAGCCATGTCCAACCTTCTTCCACTGAATGTGGAATGGAGGGAAGTGTGTAGTGGGGTGCCCCAGGGCTCTGTTCTGGGCCCAGTACTCTTCAACATCTTCATCAACAATTTGGATGAAGGGATAGATGGGGAACTCATCAAATTTGCAGACGACACCAAGCTGGCAGGAATAGCCAACACTCCAGAAGACAGGCTTGGGATACAGAAGGATCTGGACAGACTTGAACACTGGGCACTAACTAACAAAATGAAATTCACTGGTGAAAAAAGCAAGGTTCTACATTTAGGCAAGAAAAACCAAATGCACAAGTACAGCATAGGTGGCACCATGCTCAATAGTAGTAACTGTGAGAGGGACCTCGGAGTCCTAGTAGACAATCACTTAAATATGAGCCAGCAGTGTGCTGCAGCTGCCAAAACGGCCAACACAGTGCTAGGCTGCATTAACAGAGGGATAGAATCAAGATCACGTGAAGTATTAATACCACTCTTCAATGCCTTGGTAAGGCCACACTTGGAATACTGCATCCAGTTTTGGTCACCACGAGGTAAAAAAGATGTTGAGACTCTAGAAAGAGTACAGAGAAGAGCAACAAAGATGATTAGGGGACTGGAGGCTAAAACATATAAGGAATGGTTGCTAGAATTGGGTATGTCTAGTTTAACGGAGAGAAGGATAAGGGGGGACATGATAGCAGTATTCCGATATCTCAGGGGCTGCCATAAAGAAGAGAGAATTAAGCTATTTTCCAAAGCACCTGAAGGCAGGACAAGAAGCAACGGGTGGAAACTAATCAAGGAGAGAAGCAACCTAGAACTAAGGAGAAACTTCCTGACAGTGAGAACAATTAATCAGTGGAACAGCTTGCCTCCAGAAGCAGTAAATGCTCCAATACTGGAAGTTTTTAAGAAGAGACTGGACAGCCATTTGTCCGAAATGGTGTAGGGTTTCCTGTCCGAACAGGGGGTTGGACTAGATGACCTCCAAGGTCCCTTCCAACTTTACTACTATTATTATTATAATGTTGGAGGATACATTGGTCCAGCATATGGGCTGTAGCCAGGTGGAGGTGGTGCGTCGCTTCCAAGAGCGGGGGCTTGTGCCATGTCTGGCTGGTGACTTTCTTCAGTGTGTTGTCTGCTGAGGGTATCTTGCCATGGCACATACAAGGGACTTTGTAGGTTTGGTCTGAATTCCTCTGCCCTTACGCTGAGCTGAGGGGATCTGATTTCTTGTGTGCTTACTTGTTGGAAGGTTTCTCTGATGGTGCGTTCCCGGCTCCCTGATAGGCTGGCATAGCTGGTGGTCAAGATTTTCCTCTGTGGTCAGGTCTGGGGGCAGATCCTCGGGATGCTGCTTCCTGTTGCCTCAATATTGACTCCTTTCTGGTGAGCTCATCTCAGAGCAGTTGCACTTCCTGCAGTGTAACCATTGCCGCTGCAGGTGGACCCATCCGGTTACCATCTGTGGTTTGATTTGTTGGGGTCAATGGTGTGGCAATGTGTAGTGCTTTGGGAGTATGCATGTAGCTGCAGAGATTGTTTGTCCACAATGACTCAGCTTTGGCCATAGTGGACTACAATCTCTGCAGCTACGCGCGTTCTCCCAAAGCACTACACATTGGGACAGGCCGCGTCTGCCAGAACGAAAACAAGACTGGGAGTCATGGAGTGCACTCTTAAGATGTCTCCAAAGTATACATGTGCAATGCATGTATGTCTCCAGCTCACTCACCACCATACAAAAGAAAGAATTGTACGCTTCCTCTGATGTGTCAATGAAGATGAATGCAGCCTTAAGATACATCACAGTCTACAGTGGGGAGAGCCACACTTACGTCATTTTGACTGCAACTATAAGATACATCAGAGTCTACAGTGGGGAGAGCTGCAGTGTCGGGGTTGCCTTTGGAAAAGCGAGACTAACAATACAACAAGGCCACAACGTACCAAGATTAGAACTCTGTGGTACCATATTGATTGCAAAACTCACCAAGCTGAAGGCTAAATTGATTATGGGGCAATTACTGATTTTACCTATAAAGATGAACAAATATGTAACATCCAGATGAAACTACTGAAACGTGAGTTCTGCCAGTATTCCTGAATAAATATTTGTTTTATAATCATCTTTGTTGAGTTATCTGTCTGGCCTTGAATTACAAAGCATCTTGATTCAGGTTCCAGAACATGCACTATCCATTAATGATACTTTTAGTCATTCAGTTTTGAGCCAGATGCTTGTGAAATGGTTGGAAGCTCTTAAATTAAATGATAAGCTTTAGATAAATGTTATTGCTTTTGATTTTATGAGGTTAAAAATTTCATTAGTAGCTTTAAGATGTAAGTAGTGTAAGATGGCCTTTTAAAAAAACAAACCTTCTAATATAGGAAGGGCATAGGTTTTATTTATACATAATCTTTAAACCCATAATCTTTAAATCCAAACAATATTGAGTCTGATAAAAAGTTGTAGTAAATCCTGTGCCTATCTTTCTCCATTCTGAAACACTAAAAGATTGATATCTTTTAGCATTGTTACTGTTAGGTGATTTTTATTTTATTGTTACAATAATTATAGCTTTTCAGAGTACATGAGTGTGTTTATCATAGAAGCAAATTGACAAAATAGTTTGTTAAAAAAACCCTATCCCACTTCAGATTTCTGTTATATAAATCCTCTTCGATTTTCCCCCCTCTTTCAAACTTTGCTGGACCCTCAAGCTTGACTTTCTCTTAGAATGCAGAAGATCTTCATACACTGCCCTTACATATGTTCTTCAACATACTTTTAGCTTTAATTGATTGCTTGTACACCAACACAATTGATTATATTTTTTTATCTATGTCCTACAGAGAATAGCATGTCTCTGTCTTGTTTTTCTTGTTTTCTTTGTACTTCACTGATTCATTTCATTTATTATTTCAATTCAATTATCACACTCTCTCATCATAAAATACATATTTTACTAAATAATACATATTTGAGTAAAATTTTCTTTTTTGAAAATAATTCGATCACCTGTGGATGCATTTACTTGCATTTATTTACCAATAGGCCTTTAATTTCTTAAAGTCATTCTTTAAGCTCTACACCAGAGGTCTTCAAACTTGGCCCTTTTATGACTTATGGACTTCAACTCCCAGAATTCCTCAGCCAGGCAGCATGCCTGGCTGAGGAATTCTGGGAGTTGAAGTGCACAAGTCATAAAAGGGCCAAGTTTGAAGACCCCTGGTCTACACAGTCATATTTAACCAGCTATGTTTACCTTATCAAGTGCTGCTTGCACTATAGATTCACTCTGATTATCTAGAGCAGAGGTAGCTTCATCCAGTAGCAAGATCTTAGGGTTTCTAGCCAGGGCACGAGCAATAGCAATACGCTGTTTCTGACCACCACTGAGCTGGGCTCCTCTTTCTCCAACCATTGTATTAAATTTCTGGGATATTCAAAATACAGAAATGAAAACTTTTTATGCTCATATGTGTTTCTAAGTGACAACAGATTATTAGTATTTAAGCAAGCATATTGAATATATTAGCCAAACACACAATATGTACCTGAGAGGCACATGGACACATACACAGTTTTAAAGCAAACAGACTACTTTCTAACTGCAGACACTCTTTCTCATTGAATATAGAGATGGCTTTGTTGCTCTCTTGACATTTTGATCAGATGAACTGTGCCAATAGTTTCAAAATCTCAGGGATAGCCTAATTAAACAATGACATGAAAGATTCTTAAAGAAAAAAAAGGAAGTCCCATGTTGGCATGCTCCGAGTAACATCTATTCACTTATATGAATGCTGTACAAATACAACACTTCATTGCTCTACCCCTGAGCTACTGAATTGACTCTTAATGTTTCCAGTGTGATTAAAAATTGCCATTGCTCAAAAGAGAGTGTCTCTACTCAAAGTAAATAAATGAGTATATACTAATGCACAAACCCTCCTTATAATTAACCATAATTAAACAAAGCCAGTCATTAAATATAATTAACTATTGATGGGAAGAACTGCACAATTGAGACAGCTAGTTCAATCTCCATTACAACAACAAAGTTGTTGTATGATTGAATGATGATTGAATATTCAGAAGGCAGCTAAAAATCTCATTCAAGAAAAGTTTTGGAAACACCCACGTAACCTGGATGCATATGCCTTTAATTTAAGAGTCTACCAGTGAAAAGTATATGATCCAATGTTATTTCAGCAAGAAAAACAAAGAACATTATATAATAACTCTAAAAAATTGACCTAATTCCAAAATGTCAAGGTTTAGCAGAGAAGATGAGCTTAAGGAAAGATAAGGTGGGATGAGATTCCTTTTTCTGGGACTTCTGTATAGTTACCAAGCTCACTGCTACTACAAAGCATTTTATATTTCTTCATGTGGCTTAAAATTACACTTTGCACCTCCTGAGGTTTCCATATTATTTTCAAAGGCAAAATACTTAATACAATAGATCAGGGGTTCCCAACCAGGGATGCTCGCACCCCCTGGGGATAGGAGACAATATTCCAGGGGGTGTGAAAACTTGGGTTTTCAAAATTATAGTGTATATGCATAATTTGTTGCCATTATTTCAAAGTTTTGCAAGGGGTGCAAGAACACATCAGAGGCGTTCTAAGAGTGCAAGGTATAGAAAAGGTTGGGAACCACTGCAATAGATGATCTCTGGGAGATTTTCAGAAAAATGAATAAAGATTTTTGAGTTTTAATTGGCTAAACAGTATAGAAAAAAAATAGATTGCCCACACTATCCGCTCTAATTTTTACAGTTGGATGAAAAAAATTGGTGTCACCAGGATTTGTATGCAAGATTTATGAATGTCATTCTGCTGTAGAACTCAAAACAAAACTCAGAATTATTTAAACTGATGTCTTTTGCACTTGGGATGATAGGGCCTTAGTACAGAACAAAGTAGACCTCAGAGACAGAAACTTTCTAATACCTGACAAGCATGATATTAAATGTTATTCATAATCTTCATGATAAGACATATTGAAACACTCAGAGGGATATATAACATATGAAAATATATATTTGCTATAACTTCAAATGAATGTAATATGGTGTTCTAAAGATTAACAGCTCAAATTCTTTATAGATTTTTCCTTAAGCATGTGGAAGCATTTCATATGTGAAGATTAATAATGTATTGTTATAAATTACTGCCTTGTCGTGGCGAAGGGGCTTGCGTAACTCAATGAAGCTATGAGCTATGCCATGTAGGGCCACCCAAGATGGACAGGTCATAGCAGAGAGTTCTGACAAAATGTGATCCACTGGAGAAGGAAATGGCAACCCACTCCAGGATCTTTTCCATGAAAACCCCATGGACAGTACCAAAAGGAAAAAAGATATGACGCTGGAAGATGAGCCCCTCAGGTCAGAAGCTGTCCAGTATGCTACTGGGGAAGAGCAGAGGGCTAGTACTAGTAGCGCCAGAAAGAGTGAAGCGACTGGGCCAAAGCTGTCTGGAGTAATTGTGGATGTGTGGGATGACCCCCTATCTATTGAATTCCTGTTCCGAGCACTTGCGGAACCTTGTGATGAAACATCCATGGCCTCAGCAGCAGCTAGTGAAAACCTGTGAAACTGATCCCCAGAATGCATATTATGATCCTTCTCCCCCTCAGAGCAGATCCAGGAGCGGAAGGGTGAGAGTCCAGTCTCCAACACAGCTGGTCTATGTGCCTGCAAAGAACGTGGCTGTCTCCCAAGGTCACTCCATATGACAATGGCCCAGATACCTTGCAGACCACAGCTGTTACCCAGAGATGACCAGGCCCATAGTTCCGTGCACAGACCGGATTGCCCACTTGGACTCTCCTAGGTGCCTGTGGTTGTGACACCTGTGAAGCCACCCTGTCAGGGTGCAACCTGTCCAGTTTAGTGATGAGGCGGCGACCCCAGCGGAGTTCAGCAGGGCTCTTCCCTGTGGCAGTGCATGGTGTGGTGCGGTGTGCAAGAAGAAAATCTGCTAACCTGTGATGCCAGTTACCCTAAGTCAGTTTCTTGAGAGCATCTTTAGTGGTGCGCACCATTCTCTCTGCCAATCCATTGGAGGATGGATGAAAGGGAACCGAAGTCGCATGGTGGATCAGGGTGGCCTGAAGAAAAGCCTGGAACTCAGAAGAGGTAAAATGAGGACTGTTATCTGAAACCAGAACATCTGGAAGGCCATGTGATGCAAAAATTCCTCTCAACACCTGGATGGTCCTGGCAGTAGTAATGGAGGAAACAGGAACAACCTCTAGCCACTTGGAGTGGCTATCAACAACAACCAGGAAGAATTGCCCCTAAAAGGGCCCAGCGTAATCTATATGCACCCTAAACCACTGGGTTTGAGTCTCCTCCCACCTATGTACTGGGGCCTGAGGCATTTTTCAGGCCGGGACTGTTGGCACACTTGGCACCCGAGCACCTGGGCCTCGATGGCTTTATCGAGGCCAGGCCATCAAAGATGGCTGCGCGCAAGCAATTTCATCCTGACTATACCAGGATGTCTCTCATGCAGAGAGATCAAGATTCTAGACCACAATGAGGCTGGAACACTACTTTGCTACCCCATAACAGGCAACCTTGAAAGTAGACAATTCATGCTTCTTGTGCCAGAAGCTTTGGAACTCAGCATCAGGGCACTTGTCAGGCCATCCTGACAACACCCATGTCAGCACATGTATAAGCGTGTGATCAGTGGCAGTTTCTGCAGCTACATCCCTAGCATTGAGGCGAGACTCAGGCAGTTCCTGAATGGACAGAATATGAACAGCTGGAGCAGGATCAGGCTCCAATTTGTTCAAAGGCAATCTGCTCAGGCCATCAGCATGACCCAATTCTTTTCCCAGTTTGTGAACCAATGTATAGTCATATGCTGACAGGAAAATGGACCATCTCAGCATGCAAGGAGAAAGGATATGTGGGGTCTGTTTATTAGTGGTAAACAACCCCAGCAGAGGCTTATGGTCAGTATAGACCATGAAATGGCGGCCATATAAGAAATCATGAAATTTCTTAATGCCCGCCACTATAGCCAATGCTTCTCTGTCAATTTGAGTGTAATTACACTCTGCAGAAGACAGAGTCCTTGAATAATAGGCCACAGGGACCTGAGTCCCATCATCCTTCAGATGGCTAAGTACAGCTCCCACCCTATAAGGAGATGCATTGCAGGCAATGCAAACAGACAGTTGCTCATTGAAATGCGCTAAAACTGCATTAGAAGTGAGCAAGGCTTTAACCTCATTGAAACTCTTTTCATGGACTTTGGTCCACTGCCAAGAGGCCTGCTTGTCTAAGAGCCTGTGTAAAGGCTCTGCTACTGCAGTTTTATGTGGGAGAAATGCATGGTAAAAATTTAATAGCCTCAAGAACGCTTGCAGCTCACTTTTAGACTTAGGGCTTGGGGCCTGCTGGATAGCTTGCAACTTAGATTCTGCAGGGTGAATGCCTTGAGCATCTATCCTGAATCCTAAGAAGTCAGTAGAAGTGACTCCTATCTTACACTTGTCCTTCTTTAACTTAAGGCCTGCTCTTCAAAAACGAAGCAAGACAGCCCTTAATCTCTCTGCTAAATTTTGAGATGACTCTCCAGCAATGAGGACATCATCAAAATAGGGACAGACTCCAGGAATACCGTGAAGTGTGCTCTCCATGACACTCTGGAATATGCCATGGGCTACATTTACCCCAAATTGCAGTCTCTTGACCTTGAAGGCTCCTCTATGAGTTACAATAGTCTAGGCCTCAGCAGCTGCCTCATCAACAGGTAACTGTTGATAGGCCTGTGCCAAGTCAAGCTTCGCAAAAATGCACTCCCCCTTGAGGGAGGCCAGGATGTGACTTACTACAGGTACTGGATAAGTGTGCTGTTGCAGCGCCTTGTTCAGTGTACACTTGTAGTCTGCACATATACATATGTCCCCATTAGCCTTTAGAGGTGTTACTATGGGGGTTTCCCATGGACTTGAGTTTACAGGTTCTAAAATGCCCTGCTGGAGCAATTTGTCCAGCTCAGCATCAATCTTGCCTTTGAGGGCAAAAGTTACCCTCCTAGGCTTAACCCTGATGGGCGTGATGGCTGGGTCTAGCCGGAGTGAAACTGGAGGCCCCTTATAGGATCCAATCTCTGAACTAAACACATCTGCAAACTCCTCTCAGACTTCTGCCAGGCTCAATGTTTGCAAATGGTGCAGCCCAGTAACCTGGATTCCCAGTGCCTCGAACCAATTGAGTCCAATAAGACTCGAACGTTCACCCCCAACAATCACCACATCTAGGGAACCTTCAAAATCCTTATACTGTATCTTAAGAGTGGCCTCCCCCTTAACACACACCCTAGAATTCTGAAAATCTGTGAGTATTATATTGGATGGTCTGAGTTTGGCTCGAAGGCCACTGCTGTTGCAAATCTTTTTGAATATGTTAATTGAAATAATGGAGAGAGTGGACCCAGTGTCCAACTCCATGGATAAAGGAACCCCTTGCAATCTTACTTTAATGGACAGTTTCTTCTTTAGGGGTTTATGTGTGCCTGTCCTTAAAATTTTTCTGTGCGATGCGTAGAAACCCACCCTATGTTGGCTGGGGACCCTCATACCTTTCAGATGCAATTCTTCATGCGGTTGGACCTTCTGGTGACCCAAACAGACAGATGCAATGTGGCCTTGCCTGCCATATGCTCTGCAAATGGTGGAACAGAACCTGCAGTCAGCTCACTTGTGGCGTCCTCCACACCCGAAGCATTGGACAGCAGCTGGAGCCTTGTCTGGACATTCCTTCTGCTTCCTTTCATCTGTCTGGTAAAGCCTATCCACCAGGATCTGCTTCTGAACCTTCTTGAGCATCCTTTTGGTGGACGGTGGCTGTCTTTGGAAGGCTCCTGGTGGGCCGCAAGGTCTTTACTGCCCCCCCCCGCTGCTTCCTCAGCTGTCACCTCTCGTAGAGCATCTTGGAAAGAGACATCTTCTTTTGCAAAAATCTTCTGCTGTCAGTCTTTGTTTCTTAGACCGCATTCAAAGTGATCTCGCAGCCTCTCTTCCAAATCCTTGAACTCACACGGTCTGGCTGTTTTCCTCAAGGCTGCAATAAAGTCCTTAGCAGATTCACCTGCCCTCTGGTCCCTTTGCTCAAACGTGTGTCTCCATGCAATAACAGACAAGTTGGCTTGGAAATGTTCCTTTAGAAGTTTCTTCAAGTCAGTATACGTTACTGACTCCAGAGGTGCAGGGGCCACCAGGTTCTCTGCAATTTCAAAAGCTTCCTGATCACAGATACACAACAGGGTTGCAGCTTTCAAGCCATCTTCTCTAATCTGGTTTACCCTGAAGTAATTCTCCACCCTTGCAACGTAGGATTCCCATCTCTCTGGGTGTGAGACATCAAATTCGGATAAACGACCAATCTTTGCCATCCTGTAGTTACAACCTTCACCACTCGCTCCTCTACAACTTCTATTGGGGAAAGGGTTTTTTCCAGCTGAGCTCACCCTCCAGCGACGCTATACTGGCAGGCTGAGATGCTAATTCCAACACTGTCTTCTCCTCTTCAGGATTTCTTGGGTAAGTCTTTACAGATTTTCTTTCTTCAGCTTGTAAATCATCCCACCTTCGTCGCCAGTGTTATGTCCTTTGATTGTGGGCGAATGATGAAGACTCATTGTGCAGTTAACAGCTCTTTATTCGTTTTAACAGCAAAACCACAACAACGAGCAATGCCATGCAGGCCTCTCTTTATCTGCCCAGAGCCCCGGACAGAATGGCAACAATTAGCAGAGCGCTTTCGCACCTTGAGCATGCACACAAGGCTGGTGCCTCTCAGTCTGGTCCCGGGCAGCTTTTGGAATGCCCGGGACCAAAGCAACGTCCCAAGCCTACTTTTGCAGGCTCGGGACACAACAATGGTCATAGCAAAAACTCTTTTCCAACAACCCAAGAGATGGCTCTACACATAGACATCCCCAGACGGTCAACACAGAAATCAGATTGACCATGTGCTCTGCAGCCAAAGATGGAGAAGCTCTATACAGTCAGTAAAAACAAGACCAGGAGCTGACTGTGGCTCAGATCATGAGCTTCTCATTGCAAAATGTAGGCTCAAATTGAAGAAAGTAGGGAAAAACACTAGGCCATTCAAGTATGAACTAAATCATATCCCTGATGAATATACAGTAGAGGTGACAAATAGATTTAAGAAATTGGATCTGATAGAGTGCCTGAAGAACTATGGATGGAGGTTCGCAACATTGTACAAGAGGTAGCAACTAAAACTATCCAAAGAAAAAGAAATGCAAGAAAGCAAAATGGCTGTCTGAGGAAGCTTTGCAAATAGCTGAGGAAAGAAGGGAAGTGAAAGGCAAGGGAGAAAGATACACCTAATTGAATGCAGAATTCCAGAGAATAGCTAGAAGAGATAAGAATGTCCTCTTAAATAAACAGTGCAAAGAAATAGAAGAAAACAATAGAATGGGAAAACCAGAGATCTCTTCAAGAAAATTGGAGATATGAAGGGAACGTTTCATGCAAAGATGGGCATGATAAAGGACCAAAATGGCAGGCACCTAACTGAGACAGAAGAGATTAAGAAAAGTTGGCAAAATTACACAGAAGAACTATACAAGAATGAGCTTAATGAGCTTAACGTCCCTATAACCATATTCCTAGAATGTGAAGTGAAATGGGCCTTAGGAAAGCTGAGCAGCAACAAAGCTAGTGGAGGTTAACAGTATTCCAGCTGAGCTATTCAAAATCTTAAAAGACGATGCAGTAAAAGCACTACACTCAATTTGCCAGCAAATTTGGAAAACTCAACAGTGGCCACAGGATTGGAAAAGGTCAGTTTACATTCCAATTCCAAAGAAAGACAATGCCAAAGAATGTTCAAACTATCACATCATTGCACTCATTTCACATGCAAGTAAAGTTATGCTTAAAATCCTACAAGCTAGACTCCAGAAGTATGTGGATCAAGAACTTCCAGAAGTACAGGCAGGATTTCAAAGAGACAGAGGAACCAAAGATCAAATTGCCAACATATGCTGGATCATGGAGAAAGCTAGGGGAGTTCCAGAAAAACACCTACTTCTGCTTCATTGACTATGCTAAAGCCTTTGACTGTGTGCATCACAACAAATTGTGGCAAATTCTTAAAGAGATGGGAGGACCAGACCATCTTATTTGTCTGTTGAGAAACCTATATGCGGGTCAAGAAGCAACAGTGAGAACTGGATACGGAACTACTGATTGGTTCAAAATTAGGAAAGGAGTCTAGCAAGGCTGTATTCTGTCACCCTGCCTATTTAACTTATATGCAGAGCACATCATGAGAAAGGCAGGGCTAGATGAATCAAAAGTTGGAATTAAGATTGCCGGGAGAAATATCAGCAACTAAGATATGCAGATGACACCACTCTAATGGCAGAAAGTGAAGAGGAACTGAAGAGCCTCTTGATGCGGGTGAAGAAGGAAAGTGCAAAAGTTGGCTTGAAACTTAACATTAAGAAAACCAAGATCATGGCATCTGGCCCTCTCAATTCCTGGCAAATAAATGGGGAAGAAATGGAGGTAGTGACAGATTTTATCTTCCTGGGCTCCAAGATCACTACAAATGGGGACTGCAGCCAAGAAATTAAAAGACATTTGCTCCTGCAGAGGAAAGCTATGGCAAATCTAGACCGCATACTAAAAAGCAGAGACATCACCCTGCCAACAAAAGTACGTATAGTCAAGGGCATGGTTTTCCCAGTTGCAATGTATGGCTGTGAAAGTTGGACCATAAGAAAGTCTGAGCGCCAAAGAATTGAGGCCTTTGAACTATGGTGCTGGAGAAGACTCATGTGAGTCCCCTGGACTGCAAGGCGATCAAACTGATCAGTCCTAGAGGAGATCAACCTGACTACCCTTTAGAAGGCCAGATCCTGAAGTTGAAACTCAAGTACTTTGGCCACCTAATGAGAAGGAAGGACTCACTGGAGAAGAGTCTAATGCTGGGAAAGATTGAGGGCAATAGAAGAAGGGGATGACAGAGAATGAGGTGGCTGGATGGAGTCACTGAAGCAGTAGGTGTGAGCTTAAATGGACTCCAGAAGATGGTAAAGGACAGGAAGGCCTGGAGAAACATTGTCCATGGGGTCGCGATGGGTTGGACACGACTTCGCAACTAATAACAACAATGAAAATTCATTTAAGTTAGTTTGATAATATTATAGAGCATGGAAAGAATACATGCATTGTAGGTGTAGGTGGAAAGTGTGCTTTATTGTTTACTGATAGAAATAAATTCCACTTTTTTGTCTAACTAGCCATAGAAAAAGATCAAAAGAGCAACTCTGTGTGTGGGTGTGTGCATGTGCGGGCCCATGTGAAAGCAGGCTAAATAGCAATTAAGACCACAACTGAAGCCCTCTCTCTTTTGTATGTTTTCTCATGTGGATACAATGGGTGGGGCTTTGATCCCAACATTCTGTATTTTTTAGCTTTTTGCAAAGATCTTTGCCCGGGTTTTTTGTTTTTTTTAAATCATTGTAGACATTCCTACAAAGACCAACGCTGACAATTATTAGTTTAACAAAGTCTGGTTAAAGATGTTAGATATAAAGAATCAGCTAAACAACAAGGTGTCAAGTGTTAAGGTTAGTTGGATGACACTGGCTTCAATAAATTGCTCTATGATAAAGTATATTGTGCTTAAAGAAAAAATGTGTGATAGACCTGAAAAGCACATAAATGGGTGAGGACAAACAGATTATCCAATCCTTATTAGAGGATCATCCTTACAAGAATGTGAAAATTGTGCTACATACATCAGGAAGTTTCGTTATGAAGTCATAAGCGTTTGCTTCTTTGGCTGCTTCTTCAATTTCAGCATCAGTAATATCCTCTCTGCCATAACGAATATTGCCTGCAATTGTGGTAGCAAACAAAACTGGTTCTTGGCTTACAATGCCGATGTTTTTCCTCATCCATTTGATATTAAGCGTCCGAATATCATGCCCATCTATGGTGATCTGCAGGAAGGAAAATAGAAGTTTGTAAGAGCCACCAGTGTAGATGTTTGATTGCTAGACAGCTTTTTTAGGTATTGTACATTAGAGGTTTTGTTGTTGGTGTTGTCAGCCCTTTTATTGAAAAGTCAAGTCCAGAAGTCCCAATAATAAGATACCCTAGTTGTCCTTGCATTAAAATGAACCTACCTGTCCTTGTGGTGGATCATAAAATCTTTGCAAGAGTTGAATAGTAGTGCTTTTCCCACAACCACTGGAACCAACAAGAGCAATGGTCTGTCCAGGTTGTATTTTTAAATTCAAACCTCTAAGAATCTGGAATTATTCAAAATATAAAAATATACATTTAAAATGTTTTAGTCACCTCTCTGGCTTAATGCAGTATAGGTCATGCCTGCAATACATGAAAAATATTCTTGAAGATTATCTAACATATTTTTAGTCAGTGAAAACATTCTAAAATTATTTAAGATATCTACGAAAGATCCTTTATCTTCTATAATTACACATTTTTATTACTGCTAGAGTGTTTCTATTTTGTAACGAAGCTTGTAATTACATATTCTTAAGACCTTTCCCTGATCATACAGAAAACAGCGTTTCTTTTACAGGCCTAAAAAGAGGTAGAAAAAAAATCTGTCTTACCTGAATATTTGGTCTAGAAGGGTAACTGAAAAAGATATTTTTAAATTCAATTTCTCCTCGGAGTTTATCCAGCTTGAATCCTTCAGTGGAACTGCTATCTATGGGACGAGGCTAGAAAAATAATTGGGAAAGAAATCTGTAATTTTTATACATACAGATTTAATACAGGCAGGTTTTTCTCCAATGTTAAATAAGTATGAGATGTAAAGCATGGGAAATGATGCATTACTTTTCTTCTTACAGAATTGCATTTCTGAGAAATATAGCTGCCTTTTCAAATAAGAAATAGATGTCCTATAAATTTCAGAGCCAAGGCTTGACTATATGAGAATCATTAGCAATTAAGGCTAATTAAATTCAAATATATTAGAAATTTCATTTGGGATTCTTGTTATATTCATATAATTGTCAGGTGCAAACAACAGGAATCATTTGTGAATACGCCCAAGTAGACACTTTATTGCTGATCACCTTTATTACAAGAATCTTGCCAGATTGTCTCCCCTACCTTGGAAAATGGCAGATATAGATCTAAGGGCTTAATCTCAGCCATTTCCTCCCCTTAACCAACTCTTTACTTCCCCTAGAGGGGTCGCCTCCCCTTCTACTGGTAATTCCACTACATCAAAAATCAACAAATTAAATGTTCTGAAACTTAACCAAGAGTTGAAACAAAAATAGGAAACAATTCTGTTCTTGCCTTCAGTTCATATACTTCCATCCATAATTACCAAATGGACAATTTGTTGTTTTGAAGCTAGAATAGTAAATAAAGGAAATCAAATAGAATATTGCTGAATAAGAAAAAATATTTAAGTTCAGTTCATCTTCTTTTTCAGTGCTGAAATAGTTCACAAGTTCTATTCTCATTTTATTCATGTGAATATGCTAGGAAAGGCAGTGAGGCTCTAGATTTTTGAAATCCTATCATTCTCATACCACTATAGCCATAGGCTCTTCTTTCCTAAGCAGGATACTCCTGCAAGATTTAATTCAATGTTTTTCAAATTTAATATGTGGGCTTCAGCTCCCAGAATTCCCCAGTCTTAAAGTTGTCAAATTTGAACACAATCAAACTTAGATTCATTTGCAATTAGATTCTAAATCCATAACAAGGAATCGACATTTTATGCAATTGCCTGGTTGGCCAAAGGATTCCTCTGTTCCTTCAAGTGATATGCCATAGGGTTATTCCTCTTATTTAAGAAGATGCAAAGAAATACAAAAATGAAGTGTTCAAATATCCGTAAATATATTTATATATTATAGCCCATAGATACCTTTTTGATAATTTTAAAGACTTGGTAGGCTGCTCCTCGAGCATTGGCCACATTCTCCAAATTGGGGGAAGCCTGTCCAAGGGCAAATGCACCAATAAGCACAGAAAAGAAAACCTGTCAAGTAAAAGAAATAAAATAGTTTAATACAAGTGCTCAATTCTGTGGATTCAATTAATAAGTCAGCAGAGTAATTACAGTCAGTATGAGGGTGCAGGGTGGCCAAAGATCCAGTGCAGCAACTCTGGAGCTGCATGGTCTCCCTATCCAGAATATAGCTATAATTTTCATAGGTTGATTTAAACATAGTTTTAAAATAGTAACAATTCATAATATGATCATTTCATATAATCAAGCAGCACTGATGTTTTATTTATATCTGTTTTGATGAAAGCTACCTTAATTCAAAGGTAATTTTCCCACCAAGAAGAATTTAAGATTAGTAACATGATTTTCAGCACAGATCATCTTGCTGGATATATGCTGCAAGTAAGCAATCATGTTTATATGCTCTATAATGAATTCCTTTAACTATTGGCATCTCCTCCATATAGAGATTATTATTGCTAGTATTTAACTTGGAAAAGAAAAGCAACAGAATACTGTGGATAACAATTTGTGGGCCAGCTAGTGCAGAGTTAAGTAGTAATATATACTACTACTACTACTACTACTACTACTACTACTACTACTACTACTACTACACACACACACACTATACTATATCTCTCATTGTGTCCATGTCTGTAAAGCCCCTTCATTTTCATGTGCATCACATGCATGACACAAGTGAAAAAATGTGGGGCTTGCTTGCATAGTTGTGGCCACCACCTTCACTTTTCTGATCTCTTCAAATGCCTCTGACAGCACTTTCAGTGTCAAGGCTTATCTATGTATGCATGTCTATACATAGATTTAATCGATATTTGACTTTTAACACCAACAGAATGAATTCAGATATACATTCGGTCTGAATTCATCCACTATGTTTTGAGGAAGATGCTCTTAGAAAATATTTTGCATCCTTACCTCATGCATTTTAGATACACCCAGAGTCCCAAAACAGGTGCCTATCTAACAATGTCAGCACTTTTAGAACTTTTCTTTTTTCTTAAGATGACAAATCCTGAAAGAACCTTTTGATTTATTAGATGATAGATTTATTAAATTTATCTAATAGATTTATTAGACATATAGTTATTTTAAACATTTGCATTCAATAGAAAATGTAAACTTACAATTAATACTCTTCCAATATCATAGTTATCCTTTTCGTCTACTGTGAGCTTGGTTCCATACCAGAAGGCAAGGGCATAGCATCCATAGATCAAAAACTGGGACACACCAATCGAAATGTTAGTGGTAATTGTCTTTTTTGTTCCAATAGACTGAGCCTCTTCTAGATTTTTATCATACCTGAAAACAGATCCAGCATGTTAGATTTAGCACAGTTTTATGATACATCTTTTCTATAAACATACATTTGTACCTTTTAATCATTCCTTTAAAAAAATTGAGTTCCTGGAGCTGTTGAAATCTCACTGACATTTCCTTTGGTCTGTCTTTTTACAAGACATTCCCCTGAGAAAAGCAGGACATTTCATCCAGTGATGTTCCATTGAAGAAACTGACGTTACGCATTGGTTGAAATTTAGTACAAATTACAGGAACAAGCCAGAGCACATTATGAACTTTAATGTCATGTGAATAAATTGGATCTCCAAAATTTTCACGATTATTCAGCAACAGAAAACTCACAAAACTTTATTTTTTATGGTAATTTAAACATTAGGAAAGTGTTTTATGTATAACTGTATGAACAAGAGAGGGCACAAATTTTTCATAATCCAAGTTACCATCCTGACTGTGGGAACTATTGGCCACATTAATTTAAGTAGGTGAAGTATATTTGTATACTACATTGGAGCATTGCTTTTGTTCCTGATATTTTTTGCTTCCCTTTAGCTTTTGGAAAGAAAGAGGGGAAAAAATCTAATCTATACAATTTTTCATGACATACATAATCTTATGTCCAAAGAATAGTTATTTACAGAGAGATCAAACAGTCTGATGCCTGGAAATTTAAGGTTTGGAAAAGACTTAATGTGACTGTACCTGTTTTTGATCCTTTGATCCTGTTCTAGTTCATAAAGATCTGGGGAAGATTGCAGAAGCACTACTACTTAATACATATTAATATAAAATATTAACATAAAATGTACTCAGACAAATTGATTGGTATCTTGGCATAAGGCAGTGTCCTATGCACATTTAAATGTCATCTTACCTTGCTATAGCTTTCTTCTGTCCATTGAAAGCAACAACTGTCCTGATGGCTGACAAAATTTCTTCTGCCACAGACCCTGCCTTGGCATAAGCTAGTAGCTCCTTTGCAGTCAATGCTGATAGTATCTGGTTCAAGAAAAATAATTGAACTCAATTTCTATTCTATTCTATTCTATTCTATTCTATTCTATTCTATTCTATTCTATTCTATTCATAATTTAAATTTAAATTATAATCACATAATCATTTTAGATAGCTTTTCCTATCTATTTCCCTCCAGAAATGTTGGAAGATACTGCTGCCCTTCCTTAGGCTGTTGGAAAAACATTTGAAGAGCATCAGACCGGTGAAACTCAATTTATCTAATCTAACAGAAAAACAGAAGAGCATTTATATGTTTTACTTCTGAATATGAATATATCCTTGAATAAAAGTTCAATATACATATTATTTACACAAAGTGCATTTATTTTATTTTATTTTATTTAGAAAATTTATATTGCCGCCTACTTGCATTCTGACACCACATTTCATTGGATATTGAATAGAGGGGGAATTGTGTTGGCAGAAACCATCTGACAATGAAACTAATTATTTTGAAGGATTGTAGGCTTTGCTTCACTAAAAATGTTTGAGTATATGATGGTATTGTTCATTTGAAAATTTGCAGTAGTGAATTTCCTACATCAGGAAACAATTATGCAGCTCTGTTATGCTAATATGTATACCCCAGAAACTTACATATGACCATAAGGCACTAGAAACAGCAATAAGAGGAGTAACAGACAATATCACCAGCGTCAGCTTCCATCCATATGAAAATCCTATAATAACCCCTGTCAAAAATGTTGAAAAATCTTGGATTATTATACCAATCTTGTCTCCAATGCCTTTGTGAATTGTGTTAATATCCCTGCAATGTAAACAGAACAGAGGATGAATAGTTACTGTCAATTATCTTAATTCACATATTTTAAAAAATCAGCATACATAAAAATCAAATGTAGCGGCTTACATTTTTATGAGATATTTCAGATGATAGTTGAATACCCTTTGTCTATAATTAACAGTTCCAGAAACCTAGTTCTAGAAATTTATGTTTTGGGATACAGGTAAAAAAATATGCCTCACTAAATATGCTCAGGGAATAATTGCAGCAGATTCCCAGGTTGAAAAATTGTCCAGAATTAAATTTTCTCCCCAATGCTATTTTTATTATTTTATTCCATTCAGAAACAAATGGAAACATCCCTATTCTACAAAGCCTACACACACACACACACACACACACACAGAGAGAGAGAGAGAGAGAGAGAGAGAGAGAGCAAATCCCTCTAACATTTCTCCATACTCAAGGATATGCTCTCAGTTGAATGGAACAATTCATTAAAGCAGTGGTTCTCAACCTTTTTAATGCCGCAACCCCCCAACCGGTCGTAAGTCGAGGACTACTCAACCGGTCGTAACTCGAGGACTACTCAATTGGTGCAGCACCGTTTGCAGGGCAGAGACAGCCTGGACAATTCCTATTGGCTTTTGAAAGCCAATAGAATTAGACTCTATTCAAGAGAGTCTATTCTATTGGCTTTCAAAAGCCAATAGAATAAAAGGGAGTAGCACAGCTAAGGAAAAGGGGAAAAAAATGACGGACTGTGTTGTTTAGCGACCCCCGTGAAATGGTCATTCGACCCCAAATGGGGTCCCGACCCACAGGTTGAGAACCACTGCATTAAAGGCATAAAATATATGAAGGGAAACTGAACATTATAGAATAATGCTAAATACTGAACGTTTGACAAACTATAGTTTTGCTCATTTTGTGAGTCTGATTTCAACAGAGGACAATATTCAGAAACATTCAATAATTATTGTAATAATAATAATAACAACAACAACAACAACAAAACAACAATAATAATAGTAAAGGAGGTCATCTAGTCCAACCCCCTGCTCAGGCAGGAAACCTACACCATTTCGGACAAATGGCTGTCCAGTCTCTTCTTAAAAACTTCCAGTGTTGGAGCATTTACTGCTTCCTTAATTCATGTTTATAATTTAGGGATAAAATGCTGAGCAGAGATCATGGTTTATTATAAATAATAATTATGAAATTCCTCCAAGCAATTATGAACTCATACAGTTACTATTGGTTTCTAACAGTGATCAGGGAGGATTCTGACTTTTGGAAAATGGTGCCACATAAACAGCGTTAGTAATTTGATTAAGGAAGAGAAAAAGCATGGCTTCTTAAGCAGAAGTTTTTCTTTTATCTGACCGTTCTTTCTTGGTAGTGACTTTTCAGCTTTGGAAATCCCTCCTTTGTGAGATTGAGCTGACTTCTGTCTTATTGTCCCTCCATTGCCAGGGAAAATTATTTTTGCTCTATCAAGGCTTATTATTTTGTTAATATTTTAATTTTTAAGGTGCTATAGAGCTTTAATGAATTTAGACTCTAGCTCTAACTGGGATTATCAGATGTTCAGTAAAGGTATGTTTTCCTGAATAGCTTTTCTTAACAGCACAGTACTTCTTAACAAATGCTAAAGTCATGTTAATCATCTCTATCCAGTGATCTTAATTGGTTGATTAGTACCTATCAGCTGGCTTGTGCTGATGTCTGAAATTGATAAAATCTTAATCAGTTACCCACTGAAGGCTTTTGTCTTTTAACTGGATTGAACTAGGAGCCTGAAAAGGGCTAGGCAAACATCCAGAACTAGCACATTCCTCTCAATGTATATTCCTCATTATCTGCATGCTTATTCCTTTGTAATTCCTTCCCCTTCAATGAATATAAATACAAATACTAAATAGTGCATCCTCTCCCCCCCCCCAATTTGTCCTTCTTTCCAATTATCCATGTACTCCTTTGCCTGTTCATATATCTGGTAATCCTATGTCTAATATGTATTTTAATATTACATTATCTATTTTTAATTCATGTAAATATTTTTAAATTGTAATTTCAGGGTTACAAGTTCTATTATAAACTGCCCTCTGAAAATTCTGTTCTAAGGCTGGAAAACATTTAAAAACAAAAAGTAAATATAATTAGTGAATGTGGTTAATTGATGAAATAGAAATACACATTTGGTCCCCAACTAAATGAACCATGGAAATTGGTCCTCTTTTGGTCCGTTGCAGTGATTGTCTTCCCCAAATTTCATATTTAAAAAAAGTCCTCCTTACTCTGTCAGTCTCGTATTCAATGTTCCAATTGGTGTGATATCAAACCAGGCCATTTCTTGGTGAAGAACAGCAAAAAAGAATTTGTCACGTATTCTTGATGTTTGTCTTGCAGAGGTAGTCACAAAGGTCCAGATTTCAACAAAACTACAGAGCAGTACCGCAAAGCCAATTCCAACGAAGTAGTACGCATGACTGTGGAAGACATGAGGAGTCAATACATATGTTAATAATTTATTTCTACAGTTTCAGCCCCAAAGCCCAAATATAGTTCCCAGTTTAAAAACTTAAAGTACATTCTTGTGGACAAAGAAGAGGAGAAAGAAATTAGAAAGTTGATAATAATCAAGCAAACAATCAATACAGTCAATCAATGATAATGAATATAAAATCAAATATTTTATTATGTAAATAAAGAACAATATTAAATTGTTATATTTATAATAAAATAGTAAATTCAAAGTAATTCAGTATCAGATAAGTTAACCATAAAATGAAATGTGTTACAGTTTGCCAGTTACAAATAGGAAGAAGAGGAAAGATATATAGGTACATACGAGGCCATTTGATTTTCTATATCTGAGGCAGCCTGAGGGCAGGCTGAGTTATTGATTTCTGCACTTCCTATAAGGGAGATTACAACAACAGGAGTATCAGAAGATAATTTATAGATGTTAAACAGCAATGCAATCCAATTTTTTTTACATACTCTAAAGCAGTGTTTCTCAACCTTGACAATTTTAAGGCATGTGGACTTCAACTCCCAGAATTCCACAGCCAGCATTGCTGGCTGTGGAATTCTGGGAGTTGAAGTCCACATGCCTTAAAATTGTCAAGGTTGAGAAACACTGCTCTAAAGTCTCAAAGGTACTTTTTTTTCTTCTTCAAAAAGCAACTGGATTATTTTTTTCCTTGAGAAGGAAGAAGAAAATGTTTTGCTTCTTATCCAAGAAGCTCCATCAATTCTGATATTGGTGGGGGGTGGGGAGATGGAAGAATAGGTTTGTATAGGATGGGGAGAGGGGAATGGAGGATTGTATTTCTTTGCAGTCATTTGGTTGTTAGCACTCTCTGAGGCCTGTTGAGGGCACTTGGGGGGTTTATCTGCACTTTCAGGAATACCTGAATCAGAGTGCAATGGCTTATGGAATCTTCTTGGAACTGCTGCAAGGGCTGCATTGTAAACTGGTGGTGTCTTATTCCTCCCCCTCTGTGGAAGGAGGGGTGTTCAATTCTAACATAGATAGATTCTTTTACCCCTCTTTCAAAGTGCTAATGACCAGTTGACTGCAAAGAAATACAATCCTTCCATTCCCCCACATCCTGTCAGAACCTATCCTTCCATTCCCCCCCCCCCTTATCAGAACTGATGAAGCTTCCAGGATGACAAGCAAAACATTTTCTTCTTCTTCCTAAAGGAAAAAAAAAGTCCAGTTGCATTTTGAAGGGGAAAAAAAAGCACCTTTGAGACAACTATGACCTGGATGACTGAAAATCTCCACAGAGATATAGTCTAAAGTCCTATAAAGTCCAAAGAAAGTAACCTTTATTTATTAAATTATTACTTTCTAGATCTGATCCCAAAATCTAGTTTTTCAGGTAATACCAGATGGCAAATTGACTATTTTACACAATAAGAAAGCTTCCAGATTCATAGATATATCCATATAAGGATTTTTTCTTTGTTTTGGTAAAAACACAAAAGGGGTTGTCAACTAAATATGGCTATCCATCACTAAGTTGCCCAAAGGCTTTTTATTTTCCAGTAAAGATTAACTAGCAGCAAGGTAGATAATTCAGTTATAGTGGCAATGGGTGCATCATTGAAGGACTTGAAAGAAGAGGTTAGGGATAGATTATCATGGAGAAAAATCTATGTGATCCCTAAGAGTAAAAAATGATTTTAGGGTACATAATTAATCAAAGATTAATTTTTCATATTAAATTCTGAATATATGGGGCAAAGATTTTCTTGCTATATTTCATAATTGTTCATTAGTGTTCAGTCTTAGTTCTCCAGATTAGTTTTCTTAGTCAATAGATTCACATGCTGCATTAAGCATTTAATAAGCCACAATTGGCTGGTTGGGTGCTATATCATAATTCAATATATTATCGCTTAGTGTGATACACAGCTCTTACCTGTAGACACATTAAAACTAGTTACCACAAAGCTGTTTGTCATCTGGCCAAAGATGACGATGATAATTGGTTGTCCGGTTCCTGTTGCAACAGCTGCGATTGATCCCACAATCATTAAAATGATATCTAGAGCATCTGCAAAGCTAAACTAAATGGATACAGAAAATTTTAAATGAAATGGTGATGGAAGGTTTCATATAGCTTTACAGACAAGATTGTGCTATTGATGACAATTATCTGGCTAAGTACTACTGCATATTGCATCTAATTTGTATTTTGGAAACCATATTACAAAAAAAAAAATGCTTGTTTATCTTTTACCTCTAAGTTCAGCTGGATTCTGGTCCTGGCCATCTTGTTTCCAGATTGGTCAACCAGTACTTACATAATTTGTAATAGGTTTGTATGATAGTAAGACAGAAGCATTTACACATTATTTTTATTGGAAGACTTAATATATATGCTCAATATCAAACATTTGCCAACTGTCATTGCATTAATAGGCAATTTGGTTCTCAAGATGCCTAATTTTTATATTCCATATATTTCTTTCCCCACCCTGTTTCATTTTAAAATATGCTTTAGATTAAAAAGGGGGAAATAGACAAGTTACAGAGGAAAGTGTCTTCATTTAGTATCATTTTTATTTACCTGATTGCTTCTAAGCCCCCATATGTATTTTTAGAGGGGAAAATCATAGCTTAATTACTTTGTTTTGAAGTGTCAGCCTCAGCCTGAAATTTTAAGCAGGCTAGAAAAACATATTTCAGTCAAAGATTTACAAAGTATTATACAATGAAGTAACTATTTGCCTCATCCAGTGAAAAATGTATATTCTAAACTGATCCACTCCCCTATTTCAAAAATAAATAAAAAAAGAGAACTCATATCAATATAATTACAAACTAACCAATTCAAAAAATCCAATCATTTGCTTCTCTTTCTTCTTAGAGGTTTCACTGTTCTTTCTAAAAAGATTTGAACAGGAGAGTAAGTCAACTGAAACAATTTCTAATAAATTAAATGTGCAAGTGCTTAAATTACACTTACATTTTCTTTTTTTTAAAATGACCCTTTTGTATGGTAGTTTCATCCATTTGGAAAGCAGGATTGTCACAGCCATTGCTTTGAATTTCTAATGGGAAAGCAGATTACATTATTAATATATTTATCTACCTACACAAAAATAAACCTGCAAAAATTAATGTAAAAGGTCTAGAATTGACATGCTTATGAAGCAACCCTGTAAATGACATTAAGAAATTAAACATGGATTAAAAATTGATTGTTATAAATCAATAATTAGCAGAACAAAATTATTTGCCTTTTTCTATTTCATTTCATCATTATAAAATGTTCACATGAAACTTTAAAAGATATTTATACAGAATAGGAAATTGCTCACATATAAGGCAAAAAGACAGCAGACTATGTTTTCATTCAACAACTACTGTATATGAATGCATACCAGAGTTAAATAAAATTATTTAACTCAAATTATTTCAACAATGTTTGAATGTTCCCAAAGTGTGAACTGTAGGCCAGAGACATAATATAAAATATAAAACCTTAATATGTTAATGGAACAATATGAGATCTGTGATTACCCAGGAGCAGCATTCAGCCGGTTCGCACCACTTCGGCAGAACCGGTAGTTAATTTTTTGTTACCCAGGCCCAGAACGGACTTCTGGAAGTGGCATCCACACAGAGAACCAGTTGTTCACATATCTGAACCCCACCACTGAGATTACCCTTTATCAAAAGTTTCTTAGGGTGAATTTCAATGACTCCTACCTCATAGTTCAAAGTTATGGACATTATCTTATTATTATAGTACTCTATTCTAAAAGGGACCTCCCCTTTTTTCAGGCATAGGAAAGAACATTGTAATATGTGAAATTTCTAACTCCAAAAAGACATAGTAATTTGCTTGATTAGTTATCAGTTATAATGTAATGATATATTTACTATAGATAGCTTAGAAAAAGATATATAAATGTAAATAAATTATTAGAAATATCAGAATTACCAGGTATAGAAACATCATTCACTGTGTAACTTCGAGAATTATCCTTCATTGATTTGTTCTCTGGCCCAATTTCAGTTGAAGAACCAATCATTTTTTTTAAAACAAATCTACATCAAAAGAAATTGTATTTCAGAAATAATATGGTCATTTTAAAATTCATATCAAACACTTTTATTAATATATTTTTCTTAATGTTGACTTTTAGTCAAATGTCTTCTCACGATCCAGATTCTAAAAAAGTTTTGAAATCAACTTAATTTAATTACTTCTTGTCTGCTTTCCCTGTTATAAAATAGTGACTAAAATGTATACATTATTCAGCATAATCTGAAGGTTTCCAGAAATTCATCCTACCTCTGTTTATGTCACCTTCATCTTGAGTCAAGGAAGCTCAAACTTCATACTTCATTGATTGGCATGTAGTCCTATGTACTCCATATTTTTGTCTCAGCAAAGGACCATCTGATTATTTTACTTAAACTTTGAAAATATATTTCCTCATCTGTTTAGCAGGAAGTGACAACCTAAGATTCCCAAGCCTACAAACCCTATTATCTTTGGTGCTCCTTTTGACTGTAATTTCTGGAAATTGATAGACTAATTTCCTGCCAGTTTGAGAGTAGAAAGAGTTTAATAGTAGTGTAACCCTCCAGAAATGTAAATATCCATTACAATAATACAAAGAAAAACCTTAAACCTTTCCCTATGTAGGAAGACAGCAACCCCTTCCCCAGAGAAAGAAATATTTTGCAGAATATTAAACAGGCAATATATTATATTTCCCCAAAAGAATAATGGAGAAGATCTTAAAAGGCAGAAACCCCCACCCCACCCCCAAGTCTCTCTGCCTCAAACAGAAACCAGGTCAGTAGAAATACAAATTTTATAATCCTTTCAGAAAGACTGGAGCCAGGAAGGTAGGAGCTAATGGGATTAGAAAGACAAAGATCCCTAGAACCAACAACCCCTCACCTAAAAAATCCAACACAGGACATAGCCATCAGCCACAGCCTCAGGGAAGCAGGACATGACTTTTAGGACATAACAGGATTAACCCAGAGATCCCCAACCTCTGTGGAGAGACGCTTTTCCACAGATCAGAGGGCACATGGTTTTGTGTGCTGCCTGCATCTCACAGATGGGGCTTTGCTTGTTTGTGAGGACCAGTTGCTGGCATGCCATGGCCCGTACTGGTCTGTGGGCTGGGGGTTGGGCACCACTGGATTAACCCACCACCATAAGAATACCAGAAGGGCACACTGAACCTCAGATCAAAGTTCATGCCACAGGAACAACAGTATTGTAACAACACTGTTATAAGCAACAGTGACTTCAGAATATCAGGTTTGAGAAACATTTAAACATGTGTTTAATTAGCTTACTAATAAACTTATTTAGATAATTTGTTGTGAAAGGAAGAAAGCCCCCTAAACATTCTTCAGACATTTCTGTAAATATTTTTTCCAATATCCAATCCTTAACCAATCATATGGTTCTGCAAGTAATAGCAGAATATTCTCCTACTAATTGTTCTTCTTACTCACATTATGTTTCTATGGAAGGAAGACATGCCTTGTTGAAAACTAATGTCTTGCTAAGGAATTTGCTTCCCCAAAAGCTCTATAATTTAACTGATTGCTCACAATTAAAAAAAAAATATTCAAGAAATAGGCCAAATTCTCACTGGAAAACATTTTTAGAGATTCTACTAAACTTCCCCATCTACTTTCCAGGTTAGTCTTCTCTTCCTGTCCATTTCCTTTTGCCAAAGTGCAACTGAAATCTAAATGGCCGATGGCTAGGCAGCCTATGGCACATGGTCTCATCCAGAACTGTTCTAGCTCAGAGGTTATTTTGGGTCCTGAGAGATTGGAAGAATCTTTTATCTTTCTGCAGCCCTGGTTTTTGCTGTTTCTTTTTGGCAAATGAGAATGAAGTTTCTTTTAAGACACAGCTTTTCAAACACCTTTTTCAAACTATAAGACATAATACATATGAATACATATCTTAGCCTGAAAGATATATATTCTTTTTCTTGGAATTGGAAAATAAAATTCAAGCAGAACCATCCTCCCCAACCACCAATATAAATATTATACCAGACAGATTATAATTGAAGCCAAATCCTTCTGACTTCAACAAATCTTAGTAATGACAGATCAGACTCCTCATCCTGAATTAAATCCTTGTTAGCCAAAGCCTGCTTTCCTATTAACTCAACAGAACCTTGAAACATGATGAGTAACAAAAAGAATGACAATTCATTTTGGTTGATAGCTGATACTAATTTCATGAGCTGTCTCCTCTCCTTGCCATGTCTTTTTTCTCATCCAAATTTATTTAATGGGAATTTTCTATTACTTGAAGTTACTGAATATAATTTCTCAGTTAACATAATGAAAGATAATATATTAACCAAAAGTATTTATGTTCCATACACATAAAGGTTAATAAATATATAAGAAAAAATAGAGTAATCTCCTACAAATTTATAAGACTGTACTAGTTCATTCCAAAGGCCTGCTTATTCCAATAACCTCTTTCACACAATAGCAAATCAATTGCCACAGGAAATCTTATGAGCAGGATATGAACACAATATTATTTCCCCCCATTTATCTTATTGGCTGGACTTGCTGGAAACTGGAATACAGCAACTTTTAAGGGTTATTCTCCCTCTTGCTTCCATCTTTCTTTTTCTGTGTTTTTCTTCACCAACAATATTACCATTTAAACTACTGGCATTAGCCAAGTGGCATCATACTCATGGCTTCAACCACAAGCTGCAATCAATATCTGTTGGATAAAGTCTCTGATCACATCCAGATAAATGAGAGTTATAGCTCAAACTTCTGAAGGTCATATGTCAAGAAGGGGTCACTAAAGCATCTCATATAAAATGTAATTTCTTGGGGGATAGCTCTTTTTCAATTGTAGCAAAAAAACTGAGAATTGAGGTCTATGAAAGACCAATATATTTACTGACACATGTTCACAAATGCATGAAGTATAATTCACATATTTATGTACCAATACAGAGTGATTTGTGTCATGTATTAGATAAGACATATTTTCTCCTAAACTATGGTTTGTTAAATGATCAGCCGAGGTTTTCATAATATGGTGAAAATACTAGGATAATCCGCTATATCTATCCATCCATCTATCTGTCTGTCTGAGAGACAGATGATAGATAGATAGATAGATAGATAGATAGATAGATAGATAGATAGACAGACAGATATCCTATTTCCCAACCTATGTAGCTCTTAATATTGGTCCATGGGATTCTTAATACTAAGCATGTTGGCCAAACCCAGATTGATTATCATTTCCAGTTAGCATGGACTGAAATCTAAAATGTTGTGCTAACTGGAAACAGTGATTACTCAGATCAGTGGTTCTCAACCTGTGGGTCGGGACCCCATTTGGGGTCGAACGACCATTTCACGGGGGTCGCTAAACAATGCAGTCCGCCATTTTTTCCCCTTTTCCTTAGCTGTGCTACTCCCTTTTATTCTAATGGCTTTTGAAAGCCAATAGAATAGACTTTCTTGAATAGAGTCTAATTCTATTGGCTTTCAAAAGCCAATAGGAATTGTCCAGGCTGTCTCTGCCCTGCTGAGCCCGCCAAAAGTCCCATTCTGCAAACGGTGCTGCACCAGTTGAGTAGTCCTCGACTTACGACCGGTTGAGTAGTCCTCGACTTACAACAGGTTGGGGGTCACAGCATTAAAAAGGTTGAGAACCACTGATTTAAATAAACAATTGCAATTTCCAGGCACTCAGACCACAAACATAATGGCTTGAATCCTACAATAAACTTTACTCAAATAAAGCAAACCACTTCAAGACATAGAACCAATTATGAATTAGACTGCAGTGTGTGTGTAAAGAGATGACATGGAAAGAGTAAAATACCAAAGGACTTATATTTTTATATTATTTACTTTCTTTCTTTGTGGTCCAAAATCCAGGTTTGTTTCAACAGTTGTTGTTTAAGCTAAACATATAAATCCTATTTATGACTAATATATTTAAACATATATGAAATGTAAGACATTTTAAAAATAGGATAGCTCACAGAGACCATAAACTCATTTTCAATCTATAACCAAATTCATCTCTTATTCAAAGAATTGTCATTGTAGTCCACATCAATTATTAAATTTGCAAACAAAGTAATGCTGACAAATTCATAGTTTGAGACGCTTAGTTGAGTGGGAGAGCCAGTTTGTTATATGGGACTTAAGGCATCAGATTAGAAACCAGGTGACCATAAATTGTAGTCCTGCCTTCAGCACAAAGCCAGCTGGGTGACCTTGGGTCACTGTGTCTCTCTCAGACCCACAAAGCATGCAATGCAAATCATTTCTGAAATCTTGCTAAAAAAACTGCAGGTACTTGTTCAGGCAGTCAAGCAAGAATCAAGGCTGACTTAAAGGCATAGATGATTAGATAGTTAGATAGATAGATAGATAGATAGATAGATAGATAGATAGATAGATAGATAGATAGATAGATAGATAGAATTTCCTGTTTCAAGTTCAGAAAAGGGAAAGGAATGTATGTATTCTTTTTTAAAAATTTAAATACATTCATGCCTCTTCGTAGAATGAGAAGGCACCCAGAAGACACTCGTTGTGAAGCTATTTAAATACATATTTATTTAACCCTTACAATGTGATGTTAAAATATGAGTCTTCCAGATGTTGAGTATTGAACATCATAACTCCAATGAATATGGCAGTTGGTTGGGCCAACAACCTCCTACAATACAGGTTAGTAGTGGCTATTCTCCTCCTTAATTGAGCATACACTACTATGAATCTTGAATTTAATTGCCATCTAAGCAGAGGTGGGATTCAGCCAGTTCACACCACTTTGGCAGAACCGGTAGCTAATTTTTTGTTGCTCAGGCCCACAATGGACTTCAGGAAGCAGCATCCAGACAAAGAACCCGTTGTTCCCATATTTGAATCCCATTACTGTGTCTAAGTAGACACAAATACCCAATCTCATGATTTCCTGATACTGATTACAACACCAATACTATATAGCAAATATAGACTGAGGACTGTGGGATAATTTTAAAACCTGAGATTGAGGAAAACAGCAATACTCAACACACACACACACACACACACACACACACACACACACACACACACACGTGTGTGTAGGGAGTGCATGATCCACAAACCGTTTTGTGGCTTATAAATAAATAGTTTTGCTCTTCCGTGGCTCAAAAATAATCAAAGAGGACCAGTACGAGGGAGAGTAGGATACTAAAATTGTCTTTTACCTGCAAAAAAAAAAAAAAAAAAAAAAAGAGCAGAGAGTGTCGTATCTTAGTTGAATTTCTTTCTTTCTTTCTTTCTTTCTTTCTTTCTTTCTTTCTTTCTTTCTTTTTTGCACTGCCATTCACGTGGCAGGATCCTTTTCTGTAATTTGCACTCACTTATCAAGCCTGCATTCTATCCTCATCCACCACCTCCCCGGCCTCAGATTTCAATTCTGCGTCTCCTCACCTACAACCTTCTGGGGGAACTCACGCGGGGATTTCAGCTATAAGTTCCAAGTATTAAAGCCGAGCGAGAATCCTCCTTCTGCGTCGAGGGAAAGCTGGCAAATGCCCTCGCCTGGCTGATGAGGTGGGTTTAGGCACCTGCTTTTTGCCTCGAAAGGGTAATGTAATGTTTCGCTCGAAGCTATTGGGGAGACACGCCCAGAGAGCTCAACCTCTTCTCCCGGATCGGGTTTCAGTAAGGGATAACAAGCTGCTTGTCTTCAAAAGGAGCCCTTCCATTTAACAAGCTTTCATAAAGTCAGCGAAAGAAGTCATCTTCTCTCTTCGTGCCTTCCCGTCTGCATCATCCTCCACCCGAAAGTCTTTATTCGTCTTTTAAAACAAACCTGAATGCATAGGTGCAGCTGATCATTAAGAAACAGACTTTTTGAGAAATGTAGTTTAGTTTATAATCTCAGTAATAATTTACCTGCCTCCGGGTTTTTTTTTTCCCTTCCCGAACTCCACTAAGAAAGTGAAGGTTTGATTTTTTCTGGATCATACAGTCTCCCTGGGCTATAATGGCCATTCAGTGAAAGGCTATATATAATTTTATGTGGGTAAACCCAACTATTTTCATTCTGGGTTATTTTCTATTAACTGTGTTTAGGACTAGTGGAGTGGTTTCTGGATTTGATCAGTGTCAGGGAATCATGTCCCTTATCAAATACTGTTGAATCTCATTTATCAGTTTTCAAAAGCTGACCTAAGTACAACCAGTGTCAAATGCTACCTTTTAAATATTCATGGATTATTAAGGTCATGTCTGAATATTTCTCAAATGTTGCTTATTGTCAACTTTAGCTTCCTTTCCCTCAGAATTTTGTCAAACATCTGCCTAATCACACTTCACAATCAACTGTCCCCAGCAAACCACCCCATAATTTAACATGTTTTCCATTACTCCATGCATACCTGCATACATAACATTTTATAAAAGCACTTCCTTCCCCCCTCACTTTTGCTTGGCTCTAAAATCTCTTATGGCTGCAGAGGCAAACAACCCAAAATAATCTTCAGCCAAGTGGTATTGAATATTATTCCTATTGAGCCCTAAGGCAATTCCTCTCTTCTGGAAGGCAGAGCTGAAGGTGCAGACCTAGTCCTGTACTTTATAGTTAGCCTATGGCTGTCAGAATGGATGAATATTTTTTCCAGCTGCCAATGTTAAGACTGGTGTCTGTGTTTTGTCTAAGTAGCAAATGTCTGTTAGTATGATAGATTGTTTTATTACTGAACAATTGATGTTCTCACATCTGAATAATTTAGAACAGAGAGTTCTGCCAGGTACACCTTGTCATTTCTCTAAAACACTGACTTTTGAATAGCAGTGTTAGATTTCTTTCATCAGATATATAAAAAAGTGGATTTTAAAAGAAGAAATCATCTCTTTCCTTTACTTTAGAGTAAAAGCATATTGGATTAGGCTGCTCCCGGTATAGGGGAAATGTGAACATCTTTCTTTCTCCACCTGAATTTTCTTGTTCTACTACTTCAGCTACTACTGGATATTTGCATGCCTTGGGGCATGCAACTTTTTGTTAGGTCAGTAAAGTCTAGTTTATACCATAAAAGGAGAAAAAGAGAAAACATAATATACTATAACTAGTCTAAGCAATTTTGTTGGTATAGTGATCTGAACACATTTAACCCATCAAGATTATAGCAATAATTCACTATTATTATAATAGTGAAATCTTTTGATTTAAACTTGACTTAGGTGATGGAAACTTTAATCATTTTTACTCAGATTTAAATCACACTGATTTAAATTGTGGTGATGATTTAAGATTGTGTTTCTTAGGCATATCACAAAAATAGATGCATCAAGATTATTATAAATATAGAAAGACTGTTCTCACAATTGTAGAAATTATCATTATAGTACAGTCATTTGGCAATGATTTGGAATACTATATCTAGATCAGCCTGAATTCATCATAGTTGAGTAGACTACAGTGATTATTATCATCACTCAGAATGGCCTATAAACTATTGCTTCACATCAGAAATCACTTTTCATAATGTCTGGACAAAAAGTCCTTCTTGATACTATCTAGTAATAACCTATTCTATATTCAGATGTTGAGAATTTGAGATACAATTATTATACCATTCCTGTTAACCTTGTGCTCATGATCTGGGCACTTGTACTTCAGTTACTTGATCACTATTTATGATCTTTCTTGTTGGCTTCTCCCAAGCAAAGTCAGGCAAAGTCAATGTAGAGCACAGCAGGAAAGACTGCAAGTTGCTTTGTTAAATCACCTGGCTTTTCTGCACTCGTGTGATGCCATGTCCTTCACCCCATGCCTTTCCTGCACTTGCATTTTAACCAGGCCACCCCCCTCTCCACTCTCCCCAATTCACACTTAATCTTCCCTGAGCCTCCCAGGGATTTCTCTCAGTCTCCTTTATCACCCATAGCACCCACAAACACTGTGACTTCTGCCAGTTCCTATTTGACAGCCTACATGTCTTGAGGTTACAAAACCAATTGGAATTGCTGGAGATTGTTGTTGATAAATTAAGTAGTTCTGTAATGTTGTGCTTTATAGCACATTGCTTGGCAATAATCCCAATTGCCACCATAACCCAAAGACTAGTTCTAATAATTATCCACTAATTCTCTCTATCTTTCATTATCAATCACCAAATTAATTTGTCTTTTAGGTTCAATTCTTTTCTCATGCGGTAACATGAATAGTGTATTATTAAGCCACATATTTGAAATCCTTAATCTTTTTCTAAGTAGATACTCACTCTCATTCATTCTGCAACTTCCTGGTTTTCATTCTCAACCAGCCACTGAAATTATCTGTCAATAATGCCTTCTCTTTGTTCATCTTCATTGTCAATGTTGCATAATTTTTTCCCAAAATCATCTATGGATCTTTAAGTATCACAATTCATAGGAATGTTAGTTTTGTTGTTGTTATGCCATCTTTATTTTCTACATCTCTAAGCAGCATAGACAGTGCTCCTGCCTCATATTTTCCTTCAACAATACTGTGTGAAGTGGGTTGGGTTGAGAGAATAGCTAGCCCAAAAGTCAGCTTTAAATTATCATTAACTTACAAAATTCTATTTTTATGTGTTGTCATTGTTGAACTAAGTAGTGAGTACGCCAACAATTACATAAGTGTAATGATTCAACATTCCAAGATTATTACTCCCGTAGTGTATTTCTCAATCCAAATATGAACCACTTTAATATATTCTCAATGAGTAAATAATAGCTTGTCACAGGAAGGTGTTTGTATCTTAAGTAGAGTTAGTAAGGAGTTGACTTTACTGTCTTCCCATTCTAGGGAGGATGCATATTCAGATTAGTAAAAGTTAGTAGATAACAGGGTAAGCAACCAAAAGCAGATATTCTCATAACTTCACAAGACATACCACTTGCACTCAGATCTACATCTCTTTTTCTTTTCCACGTTATTAACTCATGTTCTTCACCATACATTCTTCTTATATTAGAAATTGCAATCTTCCATATGCCACGGTAGTCAATAGAGGGCCTTGTGAATATTGCCCTCCACTGCCCGTCATAGTGTTAGTTGGTACATGCTTTTTAATAAAATAAAGAAAGTCTCAGTCATTTCCATGACCACGGCAGTGTTCTCTGATGATGATGAGGATCAGTTTTGACACATTTAGATTAGCATACCACAAGTATACTAAAGCATAGTTTTACTTGCTGGTGCTATTCCATACAAGCTAGAATGTTTAAACCAATGTACATCCCAAAATCTAGGAGGTATGGGATATACTCTTGTCAGAGGCACTTTTGTGGATTATATTATCATAATACATCAGTTTTCCAAGTTTTTAAAAAATCATTCTGGAAATCATTACCTTTTTATAGTAATAAAAAGGAAAGAATATTCTCTTTCTGGCATAGGAATTTCTCACCAAGATCAGTGAAAGTAAAAGACTGGGCAAAGTAATACTGGTATTTTAAGATTACAATTATTTATATTGTGTTTAAATCTAATTGCAAGACAGAAAACAGCAGAATAGATCCCACTCTGATGCTTTTCTGAAAGATGCTAAAAAGTGGCTATTCTGCCATACCTTGGGGCAAAGTAACAGGGAGCACTTGCAAGTCTCTCTCTCTCTCTCTCTCTCTCTCTCTCTCCCCCCCCCCCCTCTTCTGGCTTTTCTTGAAGCATCACATTTAGCTAAAATCAGAATGTTTCTTCTGTTTGAAATGACCAACAAAGCATGTAATCATCATGTGATAATTGCATTGCATTCAAAAGTCCCTCTTTGATGACTTTCTGCATTCTTACTTGTAAAACAGCAGGGAAACCTGATATACCTGTATTGCAGCCCCACTAATTCTTTTTTCCTCCCTCTTCACATGGCTAATCTCTTCCCACCAAAAATGCCTAAGTGGATCAAAGCTTGCTTTGATTTGGATCAAGAATGGAGGATTTTAAGGAGATAGGATTATTCAATTAATATTTCAAAGACATTTTAGTGGTAAAAAGTTTTTGTCTTTCCGGATTGACTATCAGCTATCAAGAAATCAGCAATCAATACATGTGCTGCAGATTAGCACTCTGTAGAATAGCAATGAAAGTCTGGGAAAAGGCATTCAGATAACAGAATTTATCTTTACCTACAAAAAGCAGAATTATGCAGGCAATATTTTTCGTTATGGTGCTTTATTGAAGGAATTTTGAAGAAGCAGGATGGAAAGAATATTCATGCTTTGTAAATTTTGGTATTGAAGAAAACATCTGAGAATGCCATGGATAGCCAGAAAACAAATAAATGGATGACAGAACAAATCAACCTCCCACTCAAGGCATAAATGACTAGATTCAAAGTCTGAATATATCTGAACATATCCAAGCATTGCTATTCTACAGAGTGCTAATCTGCAGCACATATATTGACTGCTGGTTTCTTTACAGTTGATAGTCAATCTTGAAAGATAGAAGCTATTTACCACTAAAATGTCTTTGAAATACTAATTGAATAATCCTACCTCCTTAAACATACAACTCTCTGGAAAAATCCATTATGCAAGGAATAGTAGGAGGAAAGACAAAAAGTGGGTGACCAG